ATTGTGCATGCAGATAAGCAGGATGACACACAGGATTAGGAAGGCCAAAGGTGTGACAACCGTCGTACATGCATACCCACACACATACACACGCACATACACAAGCACATGCATATATCTACACGCACACAAGCGCGCATACAACGTTCACCCACGCAACACACGCGCATGCGCATGCGCATGCACAACACGGGCTGACGGCGCAATCAAGTCGCTGCAGCACACCTTCGTGGAAAGGGTGGATGCAAGCCTGTTCATCAGCTCAGGGGTGTTCACAACGACCCAGCGCGCCGGCACAGGGTTCCTCAGCATGGCGGGCTGCTGTTGTTTCGGGGGGGGGGGACGCAAGCGAAACGTGCCAGTGAGCAAGTGGTGGCCGTGTAAGCCACATTTGTTGTTCATGGTGTGAGCTTTCTGAAATTGGGGGGTGGTAGGCGCAAGGAGACACTCACACGTAACACCACAAGCAGGCAGGAACCAACACAACATCCAGACATGCATACGCACACACACACACACGCACACGCACACACGGAAACACGGAAACACGGAAACACGGAAACACGCACACACACACACATATCACGCAACTACCGTCAGCACAGGCAAGCAATAGCGCGGGAGCGTACATCAGTCCAGCTGTCGGCTGGTGCTTCCATGGCCAACTTGACCTCCTCCTGTTTCTCCGTGGACTCGTGTGATTTCGCTTCCACCTCTTCCCCAGCGCGGTCTTTCTCTTGACCCTTCAATTCCTCGTCCTTCACCTTCATCTTCTCCTCTGCTACTTGTGCCTGTGTTTCCGCCTTCATCTGCGTGCTGCTACCTGGCTCTGTGTCGGTTTCAGCAGAGTTCTCCCCAGCCCCATTTGGTGCAGTCGGCGTCACCGTCTTAGCACCGCCCTCGCCCTTCGCTTGGACAATATCGCTGGCGGCAGTGATGTTGTCGTTGTTGTTGGCAGTGGTGGAATTGGGTGTGTGCTCGGCGCCACCCGCCGCCTTCACGGCATCTGTGCTCTCGCCCCTGGCATCGCCCTTGTGGTTGACGTGCTGCTTGTCGGCACCGTGCCCCGCCACCGCCTCCTGCTTAACAGCTGGATTGCCGCCCTCCGTTGGTGCAGTGCCGCCGCCGTTTGTCTCCGTTGCTGCGACACTGCCAGACCCTTCCTCTGTCTTCACCTGATTGGCTGCACCATCCTCCGTGGTACTGCTTACCTTGCTGGAAGCACCACCATCATCGTCATTGCTGCCGTTGTTGGTGTTGTTGCAGTCGGCGGAAGTGTTTGTATTTGCAGTAACGGTGGGGGTGGCACTCGCATCGGTGTCTGCGTCCGTTTGCAGGGGTGCAACCTTGTCATCGCCAGCCGCGGAGTCGTCCTTTGCCTTTTCGTCGCCCTTTGCATTCTCTGTTGCATTTTCCTTTTCCTTCGTCTCGCCATCGCATGTGTTCTTCTCCTCTTGCGCCGCTTCAGCACCATCTCCACCGCAGTCCATGTCGTTCCCTTGTCCTTTCTGTTGCTGCTGGTCATCTCCCTGTCCATCGCCTTCATCCTCTTCACCATCGCCTTTCTCTTCAGGCTCCTCTTCATCTCCCTCTTCACCTTCCTCGTCTTCCTCATCTTCATCTCCCTCTTCACCTTCCTCGTCTTCGTCCTGCTGCTGCTGCTGTTGTGCCAGCAACTGCCTCTCCGCCTCCTCCCTCCGCTCTCGCTCCTGCACAACATCGAGAATGTCTTGCAGCGGCCGCCCGCACACGTTGTCCTGCGTGTCAAATCGCTCCACCAGCACCCCTTCCACCGTCTGCACCACAAAGTACCGGTTGTAGAATCGATCCCGCCCCAGCGTGTCGCCGCGGCCAGCAGCCACCAGCCTGTTCAGCTCCGTGTACAACGCACCAAGCCGCTCGTGGCATGCATGCGAGTGCACCTTGTCCACGATCGCCTCGAACCTGCGGCGGCAGGTGAGCTCTGTCTTGCGCATCACATCGCCAAGCCCGTACATCTGCACCACCTCCTCCACCGTTGGAGCGCCCGCGGCCGATGGCGGTGTTGTGTTCACCCCCATGACGTGGTCAGTCAGCGACAGGCGTCCAAACACACGTGTTGGTTTCGCAGGCTCCGCGGGTGCTGCACTGCCTGCCTCCTTCGCTTCGGTCGCCTTGCTTTCTCCTACCTGCTCCTTCTGCTGCTGTTCCTGCTGTGGCTGAGCAGTGGACGCATCGTTGCTTTGCTGCAAATGCGTGTCTGATTCTGCTTCACCAGCGCCAGGCGCCTGGCTTTGCTCTTGCTGCTGTTGGTCTTGCTGATGTTGTGGCTGCTGCTGTTCTTGTGCCTCTTGTGTTTCCTCTCGCGGCGGCGTGTACTCAAACTCTTCTTTGGACATCTGCACGAGCACATCGCGCTCTGCAACGAGACGCGTGTGTGTTTCCTCCGTCACGCGGTGCAGCACTACCGCATCCTTGTGGATCTGAACACCACGCACGTACGAAGAAGAACATGTACGATAATGACGATTGTGGTTGCGAGTTGCGGATTGTGAGTTGCGAGTTGTGGATTGTGAGCATAAGTGATCGCAGCACCCAGACACTCGCGCACAACGCCGGCACGCGGCGGGTACTAGCGTACACAAGCATACACGCGCATACGCACTCACAACCGCACACACCAGCACGATTTGCGTGTGCACACCTGTGATGCCGGCTTGTTGAAGGTGCGTGCGTTTTGCCACATGAGACGGATGTGGTTCATGCAGTCAGCAAGTGTCGTGTACACCCCAGCACGAAGGTTGCGCAGCAGCTGCCGGATATCCATGGGCTGTGGCGGCAGCGGCGGAGATGGTGGAGGTGGTGGTAGGGGGCAAATACGACAGCGTGAGAGCAATGCAGAGCGTGAGAGCAATGCAGAGCGTGAGAGCAATGCAGGGGACCCATGAAGCAATAGCACACACACGCGCGCGCGCGCGCCTGCACAATCAAACGCACGTTGGCTCCATCGTGTACACGTACACACGCAAGCAAAGCAGATCAGGAGCCAACCTCCTTGATCATCTTGTAGTAGATGGGGAGTTCCTCCTCTGTCGGCAGCGCGTAGAAGACGGGATACAGCGGCCGGCCGTTGGAAGCGCGGGCCAGGATGATGCTGGAGATGAGACGAAGACACAGCGACGTCTCGAGGCGCGTGCGGCATGATGCAATCGCCTCCGCATCAGCCATGTCCTTCGTCACACGGCTGCAGGGGGGTGCAGGTGGGTGAAGATGGGTGGAGGTGTGCACACCATGTGAGGAGGGGACAGAGGTGTGTATGTGCATGTGGTTTTGTGTGTGTTGTGAGTGTGTGTGTGTGTGCGCGTGTGTGTGCGTGAGTGTGTGTGTGTGTGTGCGTGAGTGAGTCATCAATGGCACAAATTGCATGCCGCTTGGACCGCACATGTGTGCCACCGGCACACAAAGCAATTGGGGGAAAGCATGTACACGAGAAGAACCAAGGCACAACCACACATCCACATGCAAGGATTCGACACTGCTTACATGATGGGCTCCTTCATTTCGTTGAGAGTCAGGGTGATGTCACGCTCATATTCGCTCAACTCCTCCAGGCACTCATCAAGGTGCTCACGCACAGGCGCGCACGTCATAGCCTGAAGAAGGAGAAGACACGTGGAGCAACGGCGTTGACACGATGACAGACGCGAGTGCGTCACTTAAAAGAGGTTGGAAGGCAAACGAAGGGAACAAACCAGTTTACACAACAACTCCTGCACACGTACACACATACACAAACATGTAGGCCTGCTGCCTACACACACACACACACACACATCGCCTTCAAACCACAACCACAACAACCACAACCACAACAACCACAACCACAACCACAACCACAACAACCACAACCACAACCACAACCACAACCACAACCACAACCACACGCGTCAACTTCACGACGCCAACCTGTTCGATGAGGAACTGGAATGTTCGCATGCGGTCCTGCGGGGTGAGGTCTGCGTACGCCTGGCTGTCGAGGGCAGTGATGATGGCGCGGTGTTCTTCAGCAAACGCAATGTGCGATCGGAGATACTGGCTCAGAAAGGACTGGATGGCGGGTGGGGGCGTGGGAGGAAGGGGCAGAGGGATTGGTGGAGTGGGTGAGTGGGGGGAGATGTGAGTGAGTGGAGTGTACGAGGTGAAATGAGCAGGTGTGTGAGTGTGGTGAACATATGAGTGAGAGAGCGAGTGAGTGCGCGGAAGGGGGTGATTGTTTGCCCCAGTTGAGCGTGGAAAGGGGCAGCAAGATGTGGGGTTTGACAGACGTGTGGAGCACAAGACCAGGCAACAAACTCAACGTCGTGCTTGCAAGCAAATCGCGAGCAGTGATCGGCGGAAAGGGCTCACCTCGAAGGTGTACACGTCCAGAAGTTCTGGTTTGAGCCATTGGGTGAACTCAACCTGTGTATGGCGGCAAGGGAGGGGTGTATCGAGGACACGCGTGGCCATGTGTTGATGTTCGCGTCATGGATATGTGCGTGGTGTGCATGGGCATGTGAGCTGAACTCTCTGATGCAGTGACGCACACGAAGAAAAAGAGCAGCCATGCACCTGCGCTCTGGTGCATGCGCTTGCCATTGTGCACACACACAAACACATGCACGTGCATGCACACACACACACATACACACAAGCGCAAATCAGCACAAACAAACATACAGACACAGCAGGCAAGAGGAGGGTGCACCTTGTTCTCGGCGTCGTCTTCAAGAACGAGTTCAAGCAGCGGAGCGTGCAGTTCATACGCAAGGCGCAGTGAGGAGGAGCCTTTGCCAAGCAGCCAGAAGGCCATGTCATCTGCACACGAACGTGCACGGCATGCGAGCAGGAGAGGACGGTGTTGAGTGTGGCGGTGGATGCACACCACGAACACGTGAACCAGCCGTGAATGCGGGTAAGCTCACTTCCACCGCACCACACAGACACACGCACACGCACACACACGCACACGCACACGCACACACGCACGTGAGCATGTGCACATGCCGTACCGAGAGTGAAGAGGCGTTCGTATTTGAAGCGTGGGGCAAACGCAGCCAGAAACTCGAGGGAGGACAGCACGTCGCCAAGCACGCGGTGTGCGGACGCAAGCTCCGCTTCGGGGACGGCGACCGGAAGGACAGGCCACTTGAGGGGCGTGCCCACATCTGGGAGTGGAATGGATGAATAGTCCACATGTGCAGCCGCAGCAAGCTGCGTTGTCGTTGTTATGGCGGTTGGTGATGGTGGTGGTTGTGGTGGTGTTTTTGGGTTTGTGCAGGGGGTGGTGCAAGGTGGCATTGACCAGGAGTTGCCAAACATATGATGGTACATGCGTGAGTACACGGGTGATCACCAGTGGAAGGTGTGGACAACACTGCAGTCCGTCGCGTGTCACATGAAACCACCCCCGCCCAAACAACGGCAGGAGCAGTCAACGCGCATATGCAACAGGGCAGGGTCACCCAGCCCACCTTCTTTGCCCTGGCCTTCTCCGCCTTGATACGCTGTTTCTCGCGTTCGCGCTCCCGTTCCTTCTGTTTCTGCAGTTCTTTCTTGCGTTTCTCCTTCTCCCTCTGTTCCCGCGCCCGTCGCTGCTTCTCTTCAACCTTGCGCTTCCTGCACGCGTGCAAGTGTAGGCGTGGGTAAGTTCGTGTGCGTGTGCGTGCGTGCGTGTGTGTCTGTGTGTCTGTGTGTCTGTCTGTGTGTGTGTCTGTGTGTGTGTCTGTGTCTGTGTGTGTGCGTCTGTCTGTGCGTGCACGCTGGTGTGCAAGTGCGTGTGTGCAATAAACCAGGCGTTGCAAGGGCACAAATCATCGAGCAAGACAAGAGGCAAGCCGATAGAAAAAAAGCAACACGGAGCCGCATTAGAGCTGTGGGAAAATGAACTGACTTGACTTGCTTCTCCACAACGCGTTTTGCATCGCGCAACTTCTGCATCGCTTTCGTCTTGGCGGCCTGTTGGTGGCAGCCGGGTGCAGTGGCCATTGAGGAAATGAGTAAACGCACAAAGGAGTTGACACATGCAACACCCACCACAGCACATGTCCACGATGTCGCCACTTTACACATCCATGTACACACGCGCACACACAAGCACACACGCAAGCACACAAGCACACACAAACACAAGTACACACAAACACACACGCGCGCACACACAAACACAAGTACACACAAGCACACACACAAGCACACACAAGCACGCACAAGCACATGCATGTACACACTGGCTGTACCGTCTTTGCCTTTCGCTGGCCCGAAGCGAGGGCGCGGTCGTAGATGACCCTGTTCTTGGTGGTGTCTTTGAGTGCGTCCTTCTCCACCTGCTGCGCGTCTTTGATCACCTTCATCTGCGACTTGACCGTGTCGTGGTACAGTTTGCGGATCTCACGCATCCTGTCGACAGGCAGTTGTGGCGGTGGTGGTGGCGGTGGCGGTGGCGGTGGTGATGAATGCACCAGTCACGTGTAGCGCAGGTGTGTGAGCGGTGGTGTTGTGGCTGTAGCATTGGCGGTGGTGGAAGCAAGCTCAGGTACGACAGCATGCATGATCAAGCACACACAGCGCACACACACACACACACAAGCACGATCACACACACACACACACACACAGAGCACACATCCACAATTACAAGCATACAAGCACACAAACAAAGTACAAACAAGTGCACGCGTGTGCTTGGACTCACTCGAAGAAAGAGGGCCCGGATGCGTCGCTCTTGCGTGCACGTGAGCGGCGCTGGCGCGTCTTTGTTGCTGCTGGCGTTGTCTTTCCTTTCTTCTTCGCCGATGCTGCTGCCGCCGAGGCAGAGGGCTGTGTCTCTGTCGCCTCGTTGCCACCCGCCTCCTGGGCCTTGCGCGATTTCGTGCGGCGCCTTCCCTTCTTCACGCTGGCTGCAGGCGTGGTGGCACCTTGCTTCTTCGGCCCCTTCTTCGTCGACTTGGATGCCGCCGCTGCTTGTGTTGTTGCTGCTTTCTTCGGCGTCCTTGTTGTCTTCGCTCGCTTCCTCGCTGGCGGTGCGCGCTGCTCGTCATCATCGTAGTCGTGATCCTCGTCATCGTCGTATGCCTCGTGGTCGCTCAGCAGCGACTCTGCGTTGTCGTCCTGCTGCTGCTGCTGGACTCCTTTCACCGTCTCATCGTCGCCGTCATCCTCAGAGGAAGAGGATGAGGACGAGTCTGCCACGTGTACGTTTGTGTGTGTGTGTGTGTGTGGGGGGGGGGTGTGCGTGCGTGCGTGCGTGTGTGTGGGTGTTTGTGTGTGCGTGCGTGTGTGTGGGTGTTTGTGTGTGCGTGCGTGTGTGTGTGAGGTGCACCGAAAGCGAATCCGCTTGTTGTTCGCGGTCTGGACGAAGACGAGAACACGGTGTGTGTGTGTGCACAGGGGCAACGTTCACAACATACGCAACCACGCAACAGCCATGATACGATCAAGTGATACGCCAGCGAGTGGGCGCAACAAGCGCAACCACAGCAGCCACCGCGACCACCGCAACTGGACTCTCACCCATATCGCCGCCCGTTGCACCGTGTGCAAAGCCAGTCTTGGTATCATCATCATCATCGTCATCATCTTCGTCGTCGTCATCATCGTCGTCATCCGTAGTGATTCCAAATGCAGAGAGCAGCGTGGCGACAAACGGGTGCGATGTGCGTGTGCACATGACCGCTTCCGCGTCCATCGAGAACCGCTCTTCCAGCGCCTCCTGCACCAGTGCATGAATGTGTGTGTGTGTGTGTGTGTGTGTGTGTGTGTGTGTGTGTGTGTGTGTGTGTGTGTGTGTGTGTGTGTGTGTGTGTGTGAGGGGGGGAGATAGAGTGTGTGCGTGTGTGTGTGTGTGTGTGAGTGTGTGTGTGTGTTTGATAAAAGTCAAGTGCGGATGCCACCCTGTGCTAACGTATGCGTGTGTACCTTTGCACCGACTGAGCGGTCCCATGTGTCGTTGGGGTCCTGGCAAAGCAGAGAGCAATTGGGGATGGGGGTGGTGAGTGCATGGGGATGACATGACGATGTACATGGTGTGGCCATGTCTGCGTGCCCTGTTTGTTGAGCTGTGCTGGGCATACCGAGTATGTGCTGCCGCTTGTGGTGAACTGGTATCCAGTGCACTCGTCCGCTCCATCCATGCTCTCCAGTAGTGCCTTGACCTGCAACAGCGGGTGAGCCAGCCATGGGGATGTTTGTGAGCAGTCGCACGCACACATACACACATGCACACACGCACACACGCACACACGCACACACGCGCACACGCACACACGCACACGCGCACACGCGCACACACACGCACACACACACACACACACACGCACGCACACGCATGCACACGCACACGCACACACACATGCACACACACACGTGCGCACACGCACACACGCACACACATGCACACACGCACACACGCACAACCATCCATACCTTTGGATCAGTAAAGCCAAAGGCGTTGAATGCCACTTGCATGGGTACTGGGGTCACTGGCATGTTGGACGCCTTTGCTAGGGCCCTGAGCAGGGCTTGCCATGCCTCTGATGCGGAGCGGCCGGTGCCCTCGTGCTTCGACTTCTCCGTGACGCAGGTGACTTTGAAGATGAGCTGCTGGGGATTGGGCGCATCGTCGTCCTCGTCGTCTTCATCGTCGTCGTCGTCGTCATCTTCAACGCGCTCCCCATTGGCAAGCGACTTGAATCGGCCCTTGTCAATGGAGAAGATGAGCGTGAGGATGCTGCAGCCAAGTGCCTTTGGTGGTTGCACGGTTCGCGACACAAAGTACCCGACAGGACAGATGTGGAACGTGTGCTGCTTCTGCAGCTCCGGCTCGATGTGCCCCAGCGAGTGGATCACAATGTCGCCCAGGCAACACGGCAGATCCACGGCCTCCGCCATCGCGCTTGATGGGACAGGCCGCTTCCTTGTTTGCTTTGTTTGCTTTGTTTGCTTGGGCGTGGGTGCTGTTGCGTGTGTCCGTCTGTGTGGCTTGCGCTGGCGTGGTCGGGCGATGCGTCCACTGGCACAACGGCGAAAGGGGGAAGATGCGCCGGTCGTGCCTTTGCTTCGGCCCCGTGTGCTCCGGCGAGCACTGTTGCTGCTGCGTTGTGGGAGGAAGGCAAGCGCTCTTGCTCTCCTCGCTTGCTCGAACCTCGCTCACTCGCTCACAACACGCGCACAAGAAACGCTTGCGCCCACTGCAAGGCACGCACAACAACAAGAAAACAAGCAGAAGTGCATGCGGTGAATGCGCCAGCGCCTGCGAAAGCGAACCAGCAGCAACAACTTTTTTTCGCCGCGGATATGGGGACGTGTGTTTTTTTTTTTTTTGCTTGTTGTGCTGTTGTGGCGGTCGGTTGCAGAATACTTTTTTTTTCTTCCCTTTCTCGCGCTCGCGTGTTGTTGTCTATTGAGCGCTTGTGGCTTTGCTGTGCTCTTGTGTTGCTGTGGACTCTTCTTGAGTGGTGCACGGATGTGAGGCAGATCTGCAGGTGGTAGCTGCCACGCTGTGGGCCTGCTGGGCTGAGTGCACGTTACAATCACATTCATACTTTCACAATGCTAATGCTTGACTGAGGTGGGTTCTTGTGCTCTTGTGCTGCAACACCCTTAGACCCTTGATGCGCTCCCTCCCTCCCTCAGGGACAGTTGGTTTCCTTCTCGGATGCACGGGTGCACGTGGCATTCATGATGTTGACTGAGGTGGGAACAACTAACCAACACCCGCAGTTTGGCGTTGTCGTCTTTCTTGTATTGGGAGAGATATGGTGAAGTAACATTTGCGAATTGAAATTGATTGAAGATCGATTAGAGAGAGAGAGAGAGAGAGATCCAACAAGAAGCACAAACTGCAGAGCTAGAGCACTCAACCATCTGATACACACACACACACACACGCGCGCGCGCGCACGCACACAAACACACACGCACATCACGCGGGCTCGGCAGCGTCGTGTCCAATCAAGGACAGCTCCTCCTCGCCCGGGTTGCGATGGACAGACCGGAGCGGTGACCGCAGCCACGCCACCTTCCCTTGCCGCGATGATGACGGCGATGACAAGGGTGCACCATCGCCCGCCACCAGCGTCGCGCGCTCAGCAGGCGCCTCCTCTTCACCAACGCCAGCGTCCTTGCCATCACCACCACCACCACCACCACCGCCGCCATCACCCTTGGCAGTGCTGCTACCATCCGCACCAGAACCATCACCCGCATGCCGTATTCTCTCACCATCGGCAATTGTCTCATCCACGCCGGTGAAGCCGACGCGCCGCCGACTCTTCTCACCCACACCTGACCCATGCTGTGACCCATGCTGTGACCCATGCTGGGCCTTGGCGTGCGCATTGGTTGTGATATCGCCCAACAGCTCACCGTCGCCGCCACCGCTGTCACTCGCCGCAGAGTTGCTGCGCCGCGCAGGGTCGTGTCGGTGGCGGAGATGCTGGTGCTGGTGGTGGTGACTTCCTCCATTGCACGTGCCACTATCGCCACCATCGCCACCACGAGCGAGCGCGTGGCCGTTGCGGTCGCTGCTGTCACCACGCGTCTCCGTCCACGCCACCTCCATCTCCATCATCTCGCTGTCAGACTGCACGTGGTGCGCGTAGTCCGAGTCGTCAAATTCCGTCTAAAGACAGCAGGAAGTGGGCGGGGAGGAGATGAAACGAAGGGGCAAGGAGTGCGTGGACGGGGCAGGAGGGGAAGGAGATGGACGGAGGAATGGAGGAGCAGATGAGTAAGCGAGAGACGGGAAAGGCAGGCAGAAGGGCAGCAACACACCTCGACGAACGGCACAGGCAGAAAGGTAGACCACACACACACACACACACACACACACACACACACACACACACACACACACACACACACACACACACACACACACACGCGCGCGCGCGCGCGTGCAAACGAACCTGGTGGTATTCGTTGTATTTGGCGGAGAAGTTGCGAATTGTGTCATGCACAATGTCCTTTGGGTTCAGGGTCTAGGAACACAAGGAGCGGAGGGGGGGGGGGAGCGAGCATGCCGTGTGAAGGACACAACCATGTTCAGGCGGTTGGGATGTAGACACCCAATCACGTAGGTGCACGGGCACACAAGCCAAGATAATACAGAACCAACCAACCAACCAACCAACCAACCAACCAACCAACCAACCACACCCACATCCACATCCACATCCACACCACCCACATGCACACACACACACACACACACATACACAGAGCAGCGCTTACCGATTTGAGGCTGGAGGAGACGCGGGCGAAGATGCGTGCTCGGTCGACGGAACGGGTCGAGTCGACAACAAAGGGGCGCCAGCTGAAGGCAAAGAGGTGCAGCAGCGACACGAAGAACATCTCAATGCAGATGATGAAGCTCTGGTACGCTGCGGCAACCTGCCCTGGCTTGACCTTCTGCTCAGCGGACCGCCGAAAATTGGGTTGGTGGTGGTGGGGGGGGGGTGCAGCAGCAGAAGAAGAAGACGGGATAACGAAAGAAGGGAAGAGGCAAGAGTTGAGTCAGGATGGAAGGCATGCCAGTGTACACCATATACACAGACACACAAACACAAACAACACGACACACACAGACACAGACACACAACACACACGCATCTACACACATACACACAGACACAAACACAAACAACACAACACAACACGTACGTCATCACTGTAGAGGACACCGGCGGATTCGGCGATGGCGAGGATCACGCCCTGCACACATGCACACATGCACACACATATGGTGGGTAAACACTGACAACGAAGGTCAAGGGGAGAGCACAATTCACTGCAGTCGTGGCCCTATGTACACACATGCACACATACACGCGTATGCGCACACCTGCCAGAAGGCGAGGAAGATAACGCTCTTGACGACCACAAACTTGAGGACGGGCTTGTGCGGTCTGCAAAGACAGAGCACAATGCACAACACATCGGAGAAGGTGGTAGTGGTGGTGTTGTTATGAGGTACCCATACACGCACACGCACACACACACACACACATACACGCACAGAAAGCAGGAAAGGTCCCCCTTCCCCCAAACAGACACAGGCACACACAGACAGCAAGGTACGAACTTGAGGAGGTCCTTTGTCGCCGCGTAGAAGACCATGAGGGCGGTGAGGGCGAGGAAGATGGACACGTTGTACACAATGGCAATGTACAGGTACCCGCGGTCAGGGGACAGGTCCCCTTCAGAGTACAGCCCCTCTGCACAAGCATCCCAATACGTGCGCAGAGGAGGAGAGAGGAGACAGAGTGTATGCATGTGTGTGCGTGCGTGTGTGTGCGTGAGCGTGTGTGTGTGTGTGTGTGAGCGTGTGTGTTGTGTGGGGTGACAAACCTTTTCAAAGTGCAAGCACGCCAGAAGTTCGAGAAGAGAATAGAAAGCCCATTAAAGCCACGCAATTCGACCATCCCACACAGTCCGCAGATGCATGCGCACCACCACGTACTTGCTTCGAGGATGATGGTGATGATGGAGGTGACAGGCTTCACAACGCAGAACTGGAGCGTGGCTTGCTTGCACACGCGCAAGAAGAAGATGCTGTATGGAAACGGCCGGAGACAGCACGTCATGGTCCACCACGATGGCTTGTGGTATTGTCCTGCCAGCAAACGCGAGGTAACGAACATGAGCGAGTAACCGAGCATGAATTCGAGCAGAAGAAGGCGGAGCAAGACGTTAGCGAAAACAATGAGAGAGAAAGCGGAAAGAGAGGGGGAGCAGGAAGGGGAGAAGGAGGGAAGGGGAGACAAACCAAGTACACCATGCACACACACACACACGCATACACACACGCATACACACACGCATACACACACGCATACACACACACACACACACACACACACACACACACACACACACACACGCAGACACACACGCACCTGAGAGGGCGTGGACCATGGCTGCTTCGCCGCCAAGGTAGGCGAAACACAAGGACAAGAAGCTGTAGATCACAAACGCTGTGTGTGTATGTTTGTTCATGGCAACAGGGGGTTGTGAGTTGGACGTTACCACAATACAGGCGTTCAGTAACCGGCACGTGTAAGCACGACACAAGATCGTATTTCCACCCACAGCCACAAACAGTTCACGAACAGTACACGCAACAGTACACGAACAGAACAGAACCGCAAGAGCCACTCACCCATACACCTACGCGCACGCGCGCATACGCCATCACCTTCATACACAACACACACACACAGTACACGCACACGCACAAAACACAGCACAACACAGCACACGACACACAAGCTCACCTTCATACATGTTCCGCACGGTGTCAAAGTAGACGGACCATGCGGAGAATCGCAGCGAGAGCCAGGACCCAAGCGCATAGATGGGCACCATGAACAGGATGCGGCAGATCCATTTCTGATACTCTGGGCGCGACCAGTGAAACAGGTGCTTGTAGATTTGATGGCAGGTGATGCCAAAGCTGAGCCATGCAAAGGCGCCTGCAACCACCCATGCTGTCTCGGACAGCACAAACGTGCCCATCACAACAACACACTTCCGTCTGTGCTCGACCCTTGCTCCCTTGTCCTTTATCGTCTGGCTGCACCGTCCGCCTGCACCGGTCCTCCCCCTTTGTCGTAAACGCTATCTTCTTGCCAGCAAGCACAAAGGATTAGTGCGCGTGTCTGTGTCTGTATGTGCGTATGATGGTGTTGAAGGCGAAGGTGATGGTGTGGGGAAGGGATGCGTGTCGCTGTGGTCTTGCTCGCTTGGGTGTCAGCAGCGTTGGTAGTCTGCCGATAACTGGTGAAAGATGCCCATAAATTTCCAAACTCACAGCGCCCAAGCGCCGCAACAACAACATCATCAAGCCTTCCCACTCTCCCACTTGCTCCTTCCCCCCTCTTTTTTGTTTGTGTTGTGTTGTGTTGTTGTGGTGGCGGTGTTTGCGCACCCTTGCGTGCCTCCTTCTCCCTCTGTCACTTTTTATCGCTTTGGCTGTTGTTGAACGCGAATCGCCCACGTGACACTGCTTCATCATGGGAACCTTGGAACGAGCACTGGACATGGCGACGCAGCCAGACTCGTCCAACACGTCTGTGTATTCGTTTTGTCAGGCGGTCATGAGCGAGCCAGACGGGCCGCGCGACGCAGTGTACATGCTGCTGGACAAGGTGCGCAGCCCGCGGGAGCCCGTTGCTCTTCGCACACTGGAGGTACTTGACAAGGCCGTGTACGAGTGCGGGCCCCCGTTCCAGGCCGTTGTGGGCAAGTTCAAGTTCCTCAATGAGGTCATCAAGATGGTGTCGCCAAAGTACCATGAGAACAGGACTGAGGCCGTGATTGCCATGCTGTGCCGGCTGCTGCAGAAGTGGGCGCTGACCATCCCTACCCAGCCCAAGATTAAAGAGGTGTACAAGATGCTCAAGCAGCAGGGCATCACCTTTCCCGAGGTGGATGAAGAGACGAAGCGCCTCGCTGCGGAAAACACGCCCAAGACGCCCGAGCGGTTCTCGGACCGGCCGTCGCCGCTGGAGCAGGAGGACGAGCGCAAGGCCAAGCTGCTCGCACGCCTTCTCAAGAGCACAGACCCAAATGACCTAACAAAGGCAAACAAGCTCATCAAGAAGATGGTGGCCCAGGTTCGTTTGTGCATGCTTGTTTGTGTGTTTGTGTGCATGCTTGTTTGTGTGCGTGAATGCTTTGTGAATGCTTTGTGAATGCTTTGTGAATGCTTTGCGCTATTGTGTGCGTGTATGTGTGTGAATGCGTGCTGGTACTATTGTGCGTGTGTGGATTCACTGCGCGGGTGAAGTTCCCGAATGCTTCAGATTGAGTGCTTATGTGTGTAAACATGTGTCTATGTGTCCATTGATTGTGCGGGGTTGTGCGCTGCACGTCAATGCAGGATGCCAAGCGACAGGAGCGAATGGCAAGGACACAGCGTGAACTTCACACCATGCAAGAGAACGTGCAGGTGTGCATTTGCTGCAGACTGGCAGTGATTGGACGTATCATTTGAATTCGCGCGCGCGCATGTGTGTGTGTGTGCGTGTGCGTGTGCGCATGTGTGTGCGTGTGCATGTGCGTGTGCGTGTGCGTGTGCGTGTGCGTGTGCGTGTGCGTGCGTGTGCGTGTGTGATGTCCCTGAATGGCCTCACGCCAGCATATTTGCTGCTCGTGCTCCCACTGTCCTCCAATGCCACTAGCTGTTGTCCGAGATGCTTGCCAACTTTGATTCAACACAAGGCAGCGTCGCCCAAGATGAAGTCATTCAGGTCAGTCTGCTGCGTGTGCGTGTGTGGCGACAGAGGAACGGTGCCACGCTCGTGCGCTGTCCCTGCTTCTTGGTCGTACGAGTCACATCTCCCGTCATGTCTCACCACACACACACACACACACACACACACACACACACACACACACACACACACACACACACACACACCGACGCAGGAGCTGCTCACGACGTGCAAGGACATGCGGCCAAAGCTCATGAAGATGGCCGGTGAAGTCTCGGAGAAAGACAACCTCCTTGGTGCGGTACCTCGCACCCGTTTTGTTTGGTTTGGTTTGGTTTGGTTTGGTTTGGTTTGGTTTGGTTTGTTTGGTTTGTTTGTTTGGTTTGTTTGGTTTGTTTGTTTGTTTTGTTTGTTTGTTTGTTTTGTTTGTTTGTTTGTTTTGTTTGTTTTGTTTGCTTGTGTGTGTGCGTGTGTGTGTGTGTGTGTGTGTGTGCGTGTGTGCTTGCACATAATGTTGTCGGTGTTGTTTTATGCTTGTGTTTTTACTGTTGGACTGTTGGACTGCTGGCGCTTCGTGCTGTCGTACACGCTCCCTCACAACCTCGCGAAACATTTGCGTGTGTCTTCCACCGCAGGGGAGGTGCTGGCGCTGAACGACGACGTCGGGCGGGCGCTTGACCAGTACAACGCCATGCTCTCCTCCTCCACGCAGGCTGCACCGCCATCTACGTCGCACCAGCAGCAGCAGCTACAGCTACAGCAACAGCAACCGCAACAGCAGTCCGATGACCTTGCTGACCTGTTTGGCAACACACCACAGCAACAGCAGCAGCAACAGCAGCAAGCAGCTCAGCCGCCGCAGACGCAACAGCAAGCGGGCATGCCATCGCTCTTCCCAGCAACACACGCCTCCCCCATGTTCGGGTCACCCGCGCCCCAATTCCAACAACACCAGCCACAGCAGCAGCAACAGCAAGCATTCATGTCGGCCCAGACCACGGCCAGCAGTGACATGTTCCCTGTGCAGTTCCCCGCACAGCCGGCGCCAGCACCACAGCAGCCGCTGTTTGGCATGCCGCCCGTGTCAGCACCAGCACCAGCAGCCACCACGGCCGCACCACCGCCACCCCAGCAGTCCCACCAGCACACCACCACCACCACCACCAACAGCAGCAGCCATGCCGATGACGATGATGATGACATCTTTGGGCTTGGGTCCCTCGGTCTGTCACCAACCACCACCACGACTGCAACAACGACAGCAGCAGCGCACGAGCCGAGCCTGTCCACGTCCTCTGACGTGGCGCCGCTGGACCTGCTGGGCGACACGATGTCGCAGCCATCGCCCCCACCACAGCAGCAACAGCACCAGCAACAGCAAGAGCAGCAAGAGTTGTCTGTACCGCAGGACGACAACACGCCGCCACCGGATATTGCGTCGCTCTCCTTTGATGCACTGCAGGTGCAGCCGCAGGCAGGCGCTCCGCAAAGCATCTACCAACGCGACAAATTCACGGTGCGATGTAGCTTGTGTGATGTAATTCGTGTGTGTTGTGTGTGTGTGTGTTGTGTGTGTTGTGTGTGTTGTGTGTGTTGTGTGAGAGAGTGTGTGTATGTGTGTGTGTGTATGTGACTGCGTCCCCTAGAGTTTGTACAGGTATGTTTGATGTAATTCCATATGCGTTTCATGTGTGCATGTGCTCATTCTCCAATGCATTTTGCGTTGTGCATCCTCGTTGTCGTGCCACACACAGGTGGAAGTTTGTCGGGTACGGGACACGACGCACTCGTCTGTGCATGTGATGCTGGTGACGTTCAACAACCTGGACGCTTCCACTCCCATCACCAACATCAACTTCCAGGCGGCCGTGCCCAAGGTGTGCATGTGTGTGTATGTGTGTATGTGTGTATGTGTGTATGTGTGTGTATGTGTGTATGTGTGTGTATGCGTGTGTATGTGTGTGTATGTGTGTGTATGTGTGTGTATGTGTGTGCATGTGTGTCGATATGCGTGGGCATGTGTGTGAGTGTGTGAGTGTGCGTGCTTGTTGCAAATGCGTTCTGGCTGTCATTTTGTCTTGTGCTCATGCCCCTCCTCCTGCATGCATTGTTTCAAACCATCCCCCTCTCAACACACACACACACACACACACACTGCCTTGCTTGCAGACGCAACAAATCAAGCTTCAGGCCCCGACGTCCACCACTTGTGAGCCTGCTGGCTTGGATGGAACACCAGGCAAGGCCCACCAAGTCTTTATCATCTCCAACCCACAGAAGGTGTGTTGCGGTTGGTGTTGCGATGAATGTTCGTCCAACATGTGAACACTGATTTTGTAGTGTAGTGTGGGGGCGTGTTACCTGTGACAGCTTTGCTGCTACTTGTTTGCATGTACAGTGTGTGCATGAACAGTTGCTCGTTAGTTTCTCACACACCCGCGTTATCTGCCTGCCCTGTTGTGTTGTGTTGTGTTGTGTTGTGTTTTGCCATCACGCACAAGACGGCGCTCAAGCTTCGCTTCAAGCTGACCTTCAACGTGGGTGAGCAGGCCATCTCCGACACGCGGGACGTCGCCTCCCTGCCATCACAAGCGTGACGGTCGTGACCGCAACCATCAACCACACGCCAAACCAATGGCACACCAAGCGACCAGAACACGAAGCAAACAGAACACGAAGCGAATGGCACTCCAATGCCAATGAGCATCACACAGTCACACACAGACACACACACACACAGACACCCACACCCACACCCACACACACAGACACACACACACACACAGACACACACACACACACACACACACACACGCACAGACACACACACACAGACACACACACACAGACAGATACACACACCCCCACACACACAACACACCCACTTGCTTGCTTGCGCTTGTTTGTTGGCACCATTACAAAAATTCGACGGCTGTGCTGTGTTTTCCGATGGAGAAAGCGTTGGAAAACAGTGTTTTCCGGCCCATCAGCATTTGCCCAGACGAGAAGAGGAAGAAGAAGCGGTGACTGACGAAAGTGAGTGCGGTCGATGGGCTTGCTGCTCTGCTCTCATGGTGCCACTGGTGCTGAGGCACAGTGGGGTGATGGTCGTTGTTGTGATAGCGGTGGTTCGTTGCTCGACGCCTGTGTGTGAAGGACAGTGTGTGGCGAGATTTAGTTGTGGGAATGGTTTCCTTTGCTTTGGTGCGTGTCATGGCGTCGTCCACGACTGCATCCTCGACATGTTTGTGTTGTCACAAGGAGACGATCAAGCAATACATCAAGTCAATCACGACTCGCACTGCCGTTCTCGCATGCTCGGCTTGCTCACCTGCTGACACGCGCGTTGTCTCACCTGCTGTTTGTCTCGCTCATGCTGACGTTGCTCCATCTCCGGTGTTTTCGATTCCTTTCCGCGCATCTACCTTTGTGCGCGTGCTACTTGTCCCTCTCCTCCCCCCCTTCTCCCCCCCGCTTCCGGCGTTGCACAGAAACCACTCATCAAACGCAACCATGGCCGACAACTTCTACACCGGTGTCAAGAAGATTGAGCGCAGCGACATCAAGACGGCTGCCTTCGATGCCCGCTTCCCCAACACAGATCAGACCAAGAACTGCTGGCAGAACTACGTCGACTTCCACAAATGCATCAAATTGAAAGTGCGATGATAAGACGTGGCTTGTATTGAGTGTAGCGTGTGTCTTGTGTTGTGTTGGTTGTTGGGTGCTGTGTTGGTTGTTGTTGTGTGTGTAAGCGTGTACGCGAGTGTTGTATGTGTACACGAAAATGTGTTCGTGTGCGAAAGCCTGTAGCACGTGTATGTGCGGCTGCGGCGGCGATATGGTGACACCCGCTCAACGCATCGTCTTGGCTGTCCTTGTTCCCCCCTGGCTGTCTTTGGTCTCTCTGTCCTCCCTCCCTCCCTCCCTCCCTTCTTTCCCCCTTTCGCTCTCGCTCTGTGCACAGGGTGAGGACTACAAGCCCTGCGGCCAGTTCTTCCGCACCTTCATGAGCCTGTGCCCCACGGAATGGGTACGTTTCTGCGCTTGCTCGCATGCGCATGTGGTTCGGTATTCACATCAAGTCTGTGCCCTTAGACGACCACGCGGGTCGTTTGTTTGTTTGTTTGTTTGCTTGCTTGCTTGCTTGCTTGTTTGCTTGCCTGTTTTTGCGTGACCTTGTCACCCTCTACGCGTCCGCTCACCTCCACCACTTGCCATCCCCCTGTTCCTCCTGAACCCTTTCTTGAACCTGAACCCTTTCTTGAACCCCCGTCTCCCAACACTCACGTTCCGCAGGTTGAGCAGTGGGACGAGCAGCGCGAGAAGAACGCCTTCCCTCACCGCGACTTCTCATCGTAAACGAGGAAAGAAGAGGACCTATGAGCCAGCGTCGTCGTCATTTGTAACTTGTCAACATCAGCCCCCACCTTCCTTGTTTTTCGTGTGTGTGTGTGTCATGCGTCTTGGTTGCTGTGTGCGTACATGGCCTCTCTCATGCTCCACGCGTTGGGAGCTGGTTCTGTGCTTTGCCAGTGCCAGTGATGCTGACAGTGACCTTTAAGTGCAACGTGCATGTCTTGCTTGCTTGTGTTTGTGTGTGTGTTCGTGTTTGTGTGTGAGAGTGCTTTTGTCACTCGTTTGTTATTTCCCTCCTTCTCCCTTCTCTCTCTCTCTGCCTTTCTCCCTCCATCTCCTCTCTTTGTCTCTGTATGTGCCCTTGCAAGTAAACACAGCAGCATGCGTTTCAATGATATGAGGACAATGCCAAAAGGGTGAACAGCCAAAGCAACACTCTTCTCTTCTCCAGCTCTCTCTCTCACGCAGTGGCGATAATTCATGAGAGATTTGCTTTGTTTTTCGGCCAACCCGCCTGTTCGTTGCGCTTCAACGTCCAACGCACACCACGCACACACAACCCGCGCATTCTCTCTTATCTCGGCGACAGACCAGCACAGCGAACGCACACATCAGCAGACACAGGGTACCCCGCCTTCCAGCTTCGCCCCTTTTTCTGCTTCCACACAGCGTGGTGTCGACTCCCTCCACAGCCCGTGACAACACCTGCCGTCTCTGCGCGTCTTTCCTGTTTTCTTGTCTCCTTCCTTTTTTTTTTCTTTTGTCTTGATTGGCCGTTGTCCTCAAATCCACCAACAGCAGCATGTCTCGCAAGGACGTTGATCGCTGGCTTGAGACCCTCAAGCAATGCAAGACCATCCCAGAGTCCGATGTCTTTGCGCTCTGCGACATGGTACATCGCGTTGTATGCAGCATATGCACTTGCGATTGTTTTTTCTTGCTTGTGGCGTGTTGTGTGATGATGATAGAAGCGCGCCCTCAATGGATTGTGTTTTGTTTCGGTTGGCTTCTGAACACACCTTGCTTGCATCCTCCCGCGCTCACACGCACGCACACACGCACGCCACACACAACACACGCACACACGCACGCCACACACAACACACACACACACGCACGCACACACACACACATGAACACACACGCACGCACACGTGTGCACACACACACACACACACAACACACACCCGCACACGTGCACGTTGTTTCGTGCCATTGTTCTGATGCTGCGTGGCTTGTCGTTTTCCCGCGTGCGCTCATGTGCATGCAGGCCGCGGAGATTCTGAGCAAAGAGTCCAACGTGCAACCGATGAGCTGCCCTGTGACGGTGTGCGGCGATGTCCACGGCCAGTTCCATGATCTCATCGAGCTCTTCCGCATCGGCGGCGACCTGCCAGATACAAACTACCTCTTCATGGGCGACTACGTCGACAGAGGCTACTACAGTGTGGAGACAGTCACCTACCTCGTGGCCCTCAAAGTCCGATTCCCAGAGAGAATAACCATCCTCCGTGGCAACCACGAGAGCCGACAGATCACACAGGTGCGCATGTGTGTGTGTATGTCGCTGTGTGTGTGTGTGTGTGTCGCTGCGTGCGGAGTTGCCACAAGTTGGTTCTCACACCAACATGCGTTAACGTCAATACCCATGCGTTCACGTCAACCCCCCCCATGCCTTGCACATCACTCGATCCTTTTTCTGGCACTGTAGGTGTATGGTTTCTATGACGAGTGCCTGAGAAAGTATGGCACGGCAGACGTTTGGACCAAGTTCACCACCCTTTTCGACTACTTCCCGCTCACCGCCCTCGTGGAGAACAAGGTGCTGCAAGCAATGATGCAGATGCCTGAAGTGCTCGCGTCAACTCCCCATGTCCCGCTGCCGCTTGCTCATGCCATTTATCAACACGTTCGTTGTTTGTTCTCCTTTGTCTTTGCTCGCTCCATATTCACATCACGGGCCTCCGTTGTCTGTCTGCCACCATCGGCTCGTGTCGTTGGATGTGCCTTCAGATCTTCTGCCTGCACGGTGGTCTGTCTCCCAACGTCGACACACTCGACAACATCCGTGTCCTTGACCGCCACCAAGAGGTGAGAAGTTGTGATCATGCCTGCATGCCTGCAGCAGCGTCCCATCGGGCGAGTTTTGTGCGGCACGATTCAAGTGGCAAGCATTAGCCTTCGCCAGCGCTCTTTCCTCACACACTCACACACACATTCAAATATATCATGCCTGACACACGTACGCACACACATATGCACTCATACACGCATACACGCACACACTCATACACACTCTCTCACACCACACTCACACACGCACGCACACTGACGCACGCACACTCATGCACACTCATGCACACTCACACACCACTCATAATCTACGAACACCCGCCAGGTGCCACACGAGGGCCCGATGTGCGATCTGCTGTGGTCTGACCCGGATGACCGCGTTGGCTGGGGCATCTCCCCGCGCGGCGCCGGGTACACGTTTGGAAAAGACATCTCAGAGGCATTCAACCAGAAGAACGACCTGCAGCTCATCGCACGCGCACACCAGCTTGTCGTCGAGGTGCGGTCTCGTGCATGTGTGTGTCGTGTGTATAGTGCATGTGTGTGTCGTGTGTATAGTGCATGTGTGTGTGTTTGCATTGCTCTTCTTGTGCAAACGCCATTGTAAAAACAAGTTAACCCCCCCCCCTCCATTTGCTTATCAATCGCGTCTTGTTGTGTCACAATAATTTATCTCGGTATCTTGCTCAACACCCACCCGATACATTCATCCCCCTCCCCACGCCGCTCTCAAATGCAACCGCTACAGGGCTTCAACTGGAGCCACGACAAGAACGTGGTGACCATCTTCAGCGCACCAAACTACTGCTACCGCTGCGGCAACCAGGCCGCCATCATGGAGCTTGACGACAACCTCAACTACGTCTTGTGAGTCGACTCCACCCACGCGCGCGTGTGCTGTGTGTGCTACATGTACTGCGTGTGCTACGTGTGCTGCCTGCGCTGCGTGTTTTGCATGTGCATAGTAGCGTTTGGGCGTGACACTCCTCTCGTTGTGTCAATTGCCGCCTCACCGTTGCTCGCGTCCACTTGCTTGGACAGCCTTCAATTTGAGCCCGCGCCAAGGAGGGGAGAGCTGCAGGTCACCCGCAAGACGCCAGGTGTGTGTGTGTGTGTGTGTGCTGTGGTTGTTTATTGGTTGGTTGCGTTGATGTGTTGTTTGCGCTGACGTGGAGTTTTTCTGGCTTTGAGTGCAAGTTTTGTGCCGTGTGTTTGTCCACAATCGTCTGTGTTGCGTCCCACGTTTGCATTGACCTCACACGTGTCGACGCTGCTCCAACTCGCATCCTTTTCATACACACATCAGACTACTTCCTGTGATGTGCCCGCGTTACACCTCGCCCCGCTGCCAGTGGCCACTGCACTCTTCACCCCTTCTTCGTTGCCCTTGTGCTCCCTTGTTGTGTGCTTTGCTTTTTTCGTCTGCTTGTATCGTTCCAGCATGTTTGAACTATTGCACACACATGCATACACATTCTTCCTGCCTGATGCTTGTTTCCTGGAGTGAGTGAGTGCTGTTGGTGGTGTCTTTCTTCGATGATGTAATTGTGTCCGCATTAAGTCGGTGTTTGTTCTCTTTTGCTGCTGGTGTTGTCGTAATGGCTGTTTGCGTTTGTTGTGATCATATAGAGATGAGGCAAATGATTGATGAACACGGCTGGTGAATGGCGAATGGCAAATGGGCGAGCGCTTGCCCGCTGTTGGCACGCTGCGTTTTTGTGTGCTTCCCTATCACAAACTGTGGTTCTCTCTGTGTACAGGAGCGAACAAGCAAGAAGCAAACGGCAAGAGGATGCATGCGGCTTGCTTCAGGTAGCATCAACACGTGACAAGCATGAGCAGCAAAAAAAAAAAAGAAAAAGAAACAAGGACACAGACAACAGAAGCAACTTCGCATGTGCATAACACAAGATGCGGAGGCAGACAAAGGGAGCAAGTCAGCAACAAGTCATCAGGTGAAACAACGGGGATGCCAGACGACAGCACGACAACATGGAAGAGCAGCAAAAACCAGTGAACAACGAGGAGGCGATTTCAAGTACAACTGCAACGCGGGGAATCACTCAAGTGTATAATCTAGCGACAGTCACAACAAGTACAACCACACACACACACACACACAGACACACAGACACACAGACAGACAGACACACACACACACACATAAAACTTGGGTTGTACAAAGTAGGATGAAGCATGGGTTCAAGCAGCTAAACGAATGATAGTGAACAACAGGGTCCGCCAATGGAAAACATCACTTGTGTGGGGTGGAACGCGCACTGTCGCTTGCTCGACTCGCTCGCGCTTTGCGAAGACGATTGCGTGGTGAGCGCTGGGGAACCTGTGGATGACGTGTGCATGCATACGTGAACGTGAATGTGCGTGCGCGCGCGCGTGAGGATATGTGTGTGGTGGTGATACACGCCGTGTGTGTGTGTGTGTTGTCACAAATGTGGGTGATGAGACATATGGTGACGAACAAGGCTGATGACACACACTTCAAAGAGGCAACAGGTTCTGTAGTTAGAAACACCCACCGCAACCAACAACAAGGTACAGCCAACAACAGATGCGCTCGCAATCCCAGGCCATCACCCCCACCTTGGTGCGCGTGCTGCAGAGGCCTGGGCCGCCAGTGGACTTGAGAATGTCCTGCACAGTCGCCTGGGCCTGTTCACCGTAGTCCTTCCTGGCGTTGGAGCGTTCCGCATGCTTCACAAGATACTCCTCAAGGTCCATCCAGCCGCCACCAACGCGCACCATCACCTTGTCCCGCAGCACACGCATCAGCAGCAGCCGCTTCTCGTTGCCAAGCTGATACTTGCCCTTGGACACGCTGCATTGGGGAGGGGAAGAGGAGTGTGAGCCATGATACATGTGCTACAGCAGAAGGAGCGACGGACACACACCCAGAAACACACAGGGGAATTCACGCATGCACACACACACACACACACACACACAAGAATTCACGCATGCACACAGACAGACAGACAGACAGACAGACAGACACACACACACACACACGTACCGCTTCAGCTTTGATTTCATTTGCGGAACAAAGTTGAGGACCTCTGCCACGCGTTCGTCGACATCATCGCCCTGAACATGTGTGTACGATCCAGACTCCTGCATGGCGGGGAGTGGTGTGAGACGACAAGAGGGGAAGGCGATGGTGAGCAGCAGTGTGCAAGCAAAAAGGGCACAACACACACGCACACACACACACACAGGTACGCACACGTGCACGAATACACACACATACGCGCGCACACACACACACATGCACACACATATACACAAACACACACACCACACGCACACAAGCACACGCGCACAAACACACACGCAAGCAACAACGTACGCTTGGGAGGCGGATTGGCTCTGCTGTTGCGCGGTGGTCTTCGACCTCGTGCGGAAGCGGCAGACCACGAACGCGATACGCAACATCCATGATGCCCGTGACAACTTGGCGATGGTCCTCATCGTGCACCAGATCCTCCTCCTCAAACACGGACGGGTATTTGATGCCAAGGCACTGCGCCCACTCGATAAATGCGCGGATGTTGCTGAGGGCAGCCTCGTTCCCTGGCTCGGCTTCCTCCAGGTACTGCACCTCAAGCAAATCGCGTTCACGGATGAACGACGTGATGTCCTGGCACTCGCGTGTAATGACGACCTCGTCGCTTGGGCCCTGCTCCGCTTCAAGCTCTCGCAGCTTCTCCTCCACCTCATCAACGATGTTGGCCAGCTGGCACAGCAGCTTCCCGTCGCGCAGCTCGTCAATCAGCGTGTCTGCCGTCAGATCCGTCTCCAGCAGCAGGTTCACCCACTCCGCCACGCTCTCAAACAGCTTGCGCTCCTTGCTCGTAGTCGCTGCCTCGCCGTGGTGTGCACCGCCATCGTGACCATCACCGCCACGCGCCCGCTCGTCCAGCTGTGCGCGCAGCTCATCCACAAGCGACTGCAAGTCCTGCAAGCGGCGCTGGTCAGCTGCCCGCTGGTCAGACAGCTCCTTGATTTTGCTGCTGTGCTCCAGCCGCAACGCCATAATCTGGTCGGCCGCCGCGTCCTCCGCCGACCGGCGCGATGAGTTGAGCTCGCGGTCCAGCCGCGCAATCTCCAGCTGCGCGTCTGCGTGTGCGCGCAGCAGCATCTCCTCGCGTGCTGCGCTGCCGCTGTCGGCACCAAAGGCCTCCCCAGCCTCTTGCTCTTTCGCCTCCTCCTCCTCCCGCAGGCGTCGCAGTGCGCGCTCCGCAGCAGAGTGGAACGCAATCTCCGCCTGCTGCAACCGCCCCTGCGCCTGCTGCTGCCGCACGCGTGCGTCCTCCACAGCCTGGCGCGTGCCGGGAGTCTGGTGCTCTGCGTCTTCCTTTCGCGCTGCCTCCAGCTGGCCCTCTGCTTCCTCCAGCTCCATGCGCGCCTGTAGCCGCCGCTTGTTTGCTGCTCGCGCCTCTTCGTCCTGCACACAGATGAGATCCACGTCCTCCGGGCGCAGGTTCGACAGCGACATCTCCCTGAACCGCCGCAGCAGCGACGCATTTGCAACCGCGCGATCACGGGCCTCCGTCTCCGCCTCAGACACGCGCCGCTGCAGGTCCTCCACCTTGAGGCGGTGCGCGCTCGTCTTGGTGTCGAGCTCGGCCTCAAGCTCCTCCTTGCGCGCCTGCAGTGCAGCCATCTTCTGCGACAGCATGTCCCGCTCCAGGCGTGCTGAGCTCTCCTTACGCTCGGCCTCCATGCACCGCAGCCGCAGCAGCTTCACCTCGTTGTCGTAGCGCTCCTTGCGCGAGGCCGCCAGCGTCTCCACGCTCTCCAACTTGCGCTGCGCGTCCTCAAGCTTGCTTGCCGTCTCCTCCTCCACCTGCGCGCGTGTGGTTGCGGCGGCCGTGCGAGCCTCCTCCAGCTGCTCACGCAAGCGGGCCACCTCCGTGTCGTAGTGGCTGCGCTCGGTCTCCAGCGTGGACCGCAGGTGCGTTTCCGCCGTCTCCAGCTTCTCTTGCGCTGCGTGCTCCTGATCCAGCAGCTGCTGCTCCAAGTCCCGCACGCGCGCTTCCAGGCTCGACTTGGTCTGCTCGGCCTGCTCCGCGCCCTCCCGCTGCTGCAACTCCAACAAGTCGAGTTTGCTCCTGGCGCTCTGCAGGTCGTGTTGCGCCGCTGCCAGCTGCTCCTCCACCTCCTGGGTCTCCTTCTGCGCAGCGAGCACGCGCTTCCTCTCCTCCTCACCGGCAGCCTTTGCCTCCTCCAGCTCTGCCGCCAGCGCCCCGGCCCGCTTGTCCGCGTCGTCAGCGAGCGCAGCGCGCAGCTTGGCCAGCTCCTCCTCGTGTGCTGCTTTGCTCGTCTCCAGCTCCTGGTCTCGCGCTTCCACAGTGGCGGCGGCGGTGGCCTTGGCCAGCTCGGCCTCGCGTGCCCGCTCCTCTGCCTCGGCGAGTTTGCCTGCAAGCACCTCGCCAGCCTCGCGCTGCTTGCGAGCCTCCTCTGTCGCTTCCTCCGCCTGCGTGCGCGCCGCTGCGAGTGCGCCGCGCTGTTCCTTCAGCTCGCGCTCGCGGTCGGCCAGCGCAGCCTGCAGCGTCTCTGCCTGCGTGTTTGCCTGGGCCACCTTCGCCTCAAGCTGCTGCTTCTCCTGTGTGAGCGCGTCCACCTGGGCGCCCATGTCCCGCCTGTCGTTTTCTGCGGCAGTCACGGCTTCCGAGAGCTTGTTTGCCTCTGCGTCCCTTGTCTCCAGCTGCGCGTTGACGGCTGCCAGGGCGTCCTCGTGCTTCGCCTGCGCAGCTGCCATCGCTGCGGCTGCTTCTTCCTTGGCCTTTGCTACCTCCTCCTTGCGTGTGCGTTCTGCTTCGTCGCGGGCAGTGGCAAGGGCCTGTGCATGGTCGGCCTGTGCTTGCTGCAGCTGCTGTGCAGCCTCCTCCTTGACGCGGGCGAGTTCTTGCGCATGCCGCTGCTTCAAGGCCTCCAGCTGCTCGCGAAGCTCTTGCAATTCGTCCTCGAGCGACTGCTTGGCCGCGCGCTCTGCGTTGAGCTCCTGCCGGACTGTATCGCCCCCAGCAGCATGCTCCTCTGCTTGCTTCTTCGCTGTCTCCGCCTCCTTCTCAGCAGCAGAGAGCGCCTGGCTGAGGCGATCGCGCTCAGCGCGGTGCTCGCTCAACACCCGCTGCTGTTCGTCCTGCTGCTCATGCAGGTGTGCCTCCAGCACGCTCTTCTCTTTCTCGTGTTTGGCGTTTTGCTCTTCCAAGAGGGCGTCTGTGCTTGCCTGCATCTCCGCACGCGCGGCTGCGACCGCCTCCTCCATTTGCTTCCGCAGCTGTGCCAGCTCCTCCTCCAGATCACCCACCTCCTTCTCGTGCTCTTGCTCCAGCTCCTGCGTGTACGCGTCTGCGCTCGCTGTGGCCTCCTTCAGCTTCGCCTCGTACACGTCGCGCACTTTCTGCACCTCGTCCTGATGGGCATCTGCCGCTTGCTGTTGTGTGTGTGTGTTGTTTGTTGTGGTTGTGCAAGATTGGGGTGGGTGAGAAAATGGCGCGGTTTGCGCGCACACACAAACAGACAAGCGATCAAATATGCTTTATCCACACACATGTACGCATACGCACATACGCACGCACGCACAGACACACGCGCACAAACACAGAGACAGAGACAGACACACGCGCACAAACAGTCACGCAGTTTCTTTTTGCACCTGAGCGAGGGCAAGCTGCTCGCGAAGACTGTCCATCTCCTTCTCCAGCTCCTTCATGCGTTTGGTGGCGGCCGTGCCAGCCTGCGCCACCCGCGAGTTGAGTTCGCGTTCGTGGCGCTCAGAGAGATGCTTCACCTCCAGCCGCAGCCGTTCCATCTCGCCCTTGAAGTAATCTGATGCCTGCACTGCATCCGACATGTCTGACACCTTCTTCTTCAGGTCGTTGTTCATGTCTCGCAGCGTGTGCAGTTCGCGTTGGAGCGAGGCCTGATCGCCCTGGCTAGCTGCCGCCTCCTGCAGCTCAGCCTCAAGTTCGCTCGTTCGCGCCTTCTCTTCGTCGTACATCTTCTGCAGTTTCGTTCGCTCGTCCACCAGGGCCTTGACCTCTGTCGTGGTGCGTGCCAATGCCTCCTCCAGCTCAGCCAGGCGCTTGCGCAGTGCATTCAGGTCGTTGGCATCCTCGCTCAGCTCCTCAATCGAGTTGTGCTTGGACAACCGGCGCATGGGCGTGGGGGCATCGGATACAGACCCCTGTCTGCTGTGTCGCCGCGCAAGCGCCGCCGCAATGCTCAGTTCACGCTCCTTGTCCTCCACCACGTCCATCACCTGGCTGTTTCTGCGACGAACACGCGATGTCGGGGTTGGGTCGTACACGTACAACACGTGCTCCAGCGTATCCCACGTGTTTGGCAGGCGAACCATGACGTGGCGGCGCAGCTTGGCCACCTTGAAGGGGCCAATGTGCCCAAACCTGTACTCGCCAGGCCCAACGCGCTGCGGTACCAGGTACTCCTTCTTCGTCTTCTTCAGGATCATGGCGATGTCGTGCTCAAGCCCAAGCTCTTCCTCTGCCAGGTTGTGTGTGTGTGAGTGTGTGTGTGAGTGTGTGTGAGTGAGCGTGTGCATGTTGTGAGTGAGCGTGTGTGTGTGTGCATGTGTGTGTGTGCATGTGTGTGTGCATATGTGTATGTGAGTACGTTCGTATGCGAGCAACTGGACTAGGCATGTTCCGTACCGTCGGTGAGCTTGAAGTTGCTTCCCATCCTGTCAATGTTCCGTTCAATCTCAACAAGCTGAATTGTGTGCATGTCCGTGCACGAGGACATGAGGAAATGGGCATGCTGTACATATCTGTGTACGTATGTGTGCATCATGTGTGTACATGTGCATGTGTGTGCATGCGCGCGCGTGTGTGTGCTTTTCTGCGTTTGCGTGTGTGTGTGTGCATTTGTGCGCTGCTCACCATGGGCGGGGCGACGGCTTTCTGAATTCGCGCCAACTCCATCAGACTGTGGTGTTTGTGTTGGTTTGTGGAGAGAGGAAGGGGCATGAATGAGGCATGTTCGTTGCGACATGTAAGATGTGTCTGGTATCGCGATACTGAACACCACCACTGTCACTCCTCACAACACACACACGCACACACACACCTGTAGAGGACGTTTTTGTCGTTCTTGTGGTCGACGAGATCGGATGCTTCAAAGAGGACAGAGTCCGCAACGCCAACACCCTTGAGCCATTCAATGAACCGGCACACGTTGTCGCGTGCTTGAAACGACCCTGGTGGTGGTGATGATGATGATGGTGGTGGTGATTGTGACAGGTGTTGGCTACAGTGGATGCGAGTCGAAGGCAAAGGAAGAGAGAAGAGAAAGGGCTGCACGAGGAGCAGAGATACAGTCATATCACACACACACACACACACACACACACACACACACACACACACACACACACACACACAGGCAGGCAGACACACACGCACAGAGGCAGGCAGGCAGACACGCACACATACACACAGAGGCAGGCAGACACGCACACACACACAGCACACACACATACACACACACACACACTGGCGTACCAGACGCAGCGCGGCGCATGTATGTTGTTGGCGCTGGTGTGTAGGATGGCTTCCCCATGTTATCGCGAACAACGCTGCTGTTGACGATGGAGGAGCCTTCTTTTTCTCCCTTTTCAATCAGCCCCGCCAACTGACACAGCACCGTGCCGTTGTCTGCACAGCACGGACACAGGTGCAATGTGAGCGCGCTAGTGTGGCTTTGCATTGTTTTAAGCGTTGGAAGTGGGAGGGTGTGTGTTTGTGTGTGCGTGCACTTGTGTGTGCGTGCACTTGTGTGTGCGTGCACTTGCGTGTGTGTGTGTGTGTGCGTGTAATCACGCAGGCGACATGCAAGTCTCGAGCAACAGGCAGTGCTCTGCGCTTGTGTGCATACCAAGGTCCGTCATGATTGTGTCAGAGGTAATGTTCATGTGGAACAGCCCTGAAGAATACCATTGTCACAGGCAGACAGCTTATGGAATGAGAAGGGGCTTGTGGAAGCGCGCGCGCACACACTCATGTGCAAGTGCGATTGTGCATAGGGTTCGTTTCCAACACAAACACACGCACACACGCGCGCGCGTGCACACACAAACACAGACGGACATTGCAGCGCACCTGCGAGCCACTCGGCAAGGTCTTCACGGTATGCTGCAAGGCGTTCCTGCTGCAGCGTGTCGCGCTGCTGCTCCGGCAGGTAGCTGCTGGCAAGACACGGCACAGGTTGGTGAATGACACACAAGCAGGGGGAAGGAAATACAGCCGTGCAGTTGTCGCAAGAGGCGCAAGCATGTCACCAAAGATACAACAACGTACGTGTCCGCCATAGAAAGACGCTTGGGGCCTGTACAACGGTGTATATGTGCATGCGTGTGTGTGAGAGAGAGAGTGTGTGTGCGTGTGTGCGTGTGTGTATGTGTGTGTGTGTGTCAGTGTGTCAGGGTGCAGAACAGTGTGTGTGTGTGTGTGCTCGACGTGGGAATGTGTGTGTGTGTGTGCGTAGCACACAGCATGTACACAAGAATTGCTCGTTTACACGCAAGGGCAAGCGCGCTGCGAACTCACGCAGTCGAACGCTGCTGCCATCGTCAGCGGAGAACGCAGCTCCGTCACCGTCGTTGTCTGTTATGCATGCGCGAGTGGCACATCAAGAAGATGTGAGTCCACAGACAGACAGACAGGCAGTCAGACACACAGACAGGCAGTCAGACACACACACACACAATCACAACACCGAAACCAACAAGCACCAAACAGGGCATGAACAACGAACAAGTACCAAGGTGTCACGCATGCATCACATCACGTTGCACACGAGTGTCACATGAGACAACAACAGCAACCAACCACAGCAACCAACCACACCAACCAACAACCACACCATTCCAAGCCAGCACCTACCGGTCATGGTGACTGTGAATCCTTCCTTTGGCCAAGTCTCTCACTGTTCACGCGTGTGCACTTCCTTCCCCCTCTTGTTAACGACAGCCTAGGTCCACAGCACGGGCAAAGCCGTGCACGTCCGGGCAGGTGAGCACAACAAACACACAAGTGCACAGGCAAACACACAGGCAACACGAGACAAGCAAGCAAGCAAGCAAGGTTGGTGTTGTGTGTTGTGTTGTGCCCACCAACAACAATGCTGCCTCTTCTTCGTCTTTCGCGGCCCGCGCTTCTTTGAATTTTTTTTGGTTTCGCCCATTTATTGTTGTCAGACGTGTTTTGCACAAGCAAGCACGATTCCAAAGAGGAAGAGGAAGGTTTCGCGCCAAACAAACACACGCACGCACACACACACACACACACACACACACACACACACACACACACACACACAACACACACACACACACACACACACATACACACACACACACGCGCGCGCGCGCAGATGCAGATGCAGATGCCATGTCGATGCTGAGTAGGAAGAAGCTGGCGGAAGGAACGGCGCTGTCACAGTGGCAGTGCGAAGCGTGCACACTCCTGAACAACGCACAGTTGGTCAAGTGCACCTTGTGTCGCTCGCCAAGACCGGCATCGTTCCGGCCACACCTCGTCCGTATTCAACCACAACAACGACAGCCACAGCAGCAACAACAGCAGTCGCAGCAGGCGCAGCAGCAAGCGGCACCGCCGCCCTCGTCTGCTCCCATCATCTTGGATGGTCCTGGTACAGCCGTGCCAGCAAAAGGTCAGAAGCCCACGAATGCATGCGGCAACAGCGGGTTCAACAAGCCAAGCACGAGCGACGTGGTCCTTGTTCTCGACAGCGATGACGACGCTGACGATGCTGGCAACGATGGAGAATCAACTGGACATGGCGACAATGCCAGCCCAGCAGCTGGTGGTGGCACAGCCGCACGTACATTAAGCTCCACCAGCAATAGCAGCAATAGCAGCAGCAACGCGCACACCCACCGCTTTGAAGACGTTCCACTGCCCACTTACTCACAGCGTCAGGATGCGCCGTTGGCTTCCGTCAAGGACGCCACCTCGGCGACGCACACCGCACAGGCAGCAACTTCAGCGCCACCAACATCATCATCATCATCATCATCATCATCATCATCATCAGCAGCAGCAGCAGCAGCAGCAGCAGCAGCAGCATCAGCAGCAGCGCAGTCCCACCGCGGTGAATCGAACACCCCCAAGCGGTCGCACACGGGCGAGTATGCAGGCCTGTGTTCCTCCGGAGGTGCACCCGCAGCAAAGCGCAGCCGTGCGCAGACTGTGCCGCTGTCCAAGTTCCGTGGCGTGGCCTGGCCCACGGTGCAGCCTGCAGGCTGGCCAAAGCGCCTGGGCGAGTTTACAGTTGCCGCCTTCCCTTCGCGCACCCTCACCCGGCACGCGCTCACGTGCGGTGACGCTATCACGCTCACCCGCGCCATGGGCACCAGCAGCACAGCCCTGCGCACAGTGACCAAACCAAAGACCCGCGGCAAGGGAGCGAAACGCAAAGCTTCGCGCGCAAGCCAACAGCAGCAGCACACACAGCAACAGGGCAAGCGCGACGACATATCCATTCGCTTCCAGCACGACCGGCGCGATCTTGGGCGGCTGCCCCTGGACGTGTGCCGCTGGGCCACGCCGCTGCTTGCAAGCAACGCCATTCGGCTCGAAGGCAAGTGCGTGTACGCCCCACGCACGCTGTCGCCGCGTGAGCCCGTGATTATGACGGTGACGGTGCTGGCAAACCACCGCTGGTTCTCCCGGCTGCCGCGAACATTTGCACAGCGGTCACCCGCGCCAGAATCCGCGAGCAGTGCCGGCAGCAGCAGCAGCAGCAAGGGTGGCGCTGGCGCTGGCGAAGTTGGTGATGATGCAGCAGTCATGGTGGCAGAAGACACGCACCCAGGTGCAGGTGCGTTTGATGATGACGACGACGATGTGAAGGACGCACTGCGGGTGTCGCTGCGCTCGTGCCTGGCCGCTGTCGGCCTGACCGACGCCAACGCAAGCCCCTTGGCTGGCAGCGGCGAGAATGGTGGTAGCAGTAGTAGTGGTGGTGTTGGTGGTGGTGGCAGTGGGGAGGAAGCAGGCCGGCAAGGGGACGCAGACACACGCAGTGATGCGGAGGACGAGGAAGGCCTGCGGGACCTGGAGTACGTGTGCGACCGCATGGGCCAGGTTGACGCGACGCTGGAGGAGGTGGAGCCGAAGGCCGGGGCCATGACGTGCCAGCTGCGGTCGTACCAGAAGCAGGCGCTAGGATGGATGATTGAGCGGGAGGAGCTGACGCGATCCTCTGCCAAGAGCAAAGACCAGCTGCACCCCATGTACAAGCAGCTGGCGTTTCCGGACGGCACGCCCCTCTACTGGAGCGACAGCCTGTGTGTTCTCACCTCCGTGTTTCCGCCTGCTTCGGAGCAGTTTCGTGGCGGCATCCTCGCAGACGCCATGGTAACAACGCCGCTCGCTGCTGGTGGTGCTGGACTGGACTGTGTGTGTGTGTGTGTGTGTGTGTGTGTGTGTGTGTGTGTGTGTGTGTGTGTGTGTGTGTGTGTGTGTGTGACGATGTGTGTGTGACGATGTGTGTGTGTGTGACGATGTGCGCGCGTGTGTGTGTGCGTGTTCGTGTTCGTGTTCTTTGGCATGCACGCGTCCATCTCTCTCATCACATCCATCACCTTTCAACTCTGCCACACAGGGTCTTGGAAAGACGGTGCAAGCGCTGGCGCTGATCAGCAGCCTGCCGCCAACCGATTCCTTCCTCGACATCAAGCGCGACATGCGTGCAGTCAGCGCCACCGGCGCAGGTGGCAGGAACGGCATCGCAGCAAGCACGAGCAAGGGCACTGGAAGCAGCAATACCGGTTTGAATGCAAGTGTGACAGTCAAGGTGTCTTCGGACGGGAGAAGAAGGAAGACAGTGACGACGCGAGGACACGGTGGGGCGTTGGATTTGGACGGGTACGTGGCTGCACTGGAGGGCAGTGGCGCAATGGACTGTGACAATGACGAGGATGACGAGGATGGTAATGAAAGCATTGTGGACATGGGGGATGCGAGAGGCGGTCATGCTTCAAGCGATTGCAGCGGCCACCTCCACCAGCATCAGCAACGGCAGCAGCCACGGCAGAGTTCAGGTGTGCGTGTGAATGGCAGGGTGCCGTGTGGTGCGACGCTGATTGTGTGCCCCATGTCGCTGGTGTCGCAGTGGGAGGAGGAGTGCAAGCGCCACCTCACACGTGCGCGCGTGCTGCTCTACTATGGAGCAAACCGCTCCCGAAATCTCACGGCAGCAGCGGCTGGCGACGCAGACATTATCATCACAACCTACGGTCCGTGTGTGTTTGTGTGTTCGTGTGTGTGTGTGCATGTGTGTGCATGTGTGTGTGTGCGTGCGTGCGTGCACGTGTGTGTGTGTTTGTGTGCTTGTGTGCATGTGTGTGCGTGAACTTACATTTGAAATTGCATGCGCGTGCGCGTGTAAGAGTGTGCGTGTTTAAGTGTAGTCTAAGCGACGTTGTTATTTTAAGATTGAGGTGTTTCATGTGTGTGAAAACACCATACGGTTGCCGTGGAAGCACAGCCCTGCTCACCAGGATCATTGCGTGCTCGTGTGCGTGATGTGTGCGTGTCTTCAGGCATTGCCACGTCGGAAAGCCTTCGCGTGATAAATGGGCAAGCGAAGACAACTGCATCATCATCATCATCATCAACGTCATCATCATCATCATCTTTACAGCAGCAGCAGCTGCCACGCCGCGGCGGTGGTGAAAGCGATGGAATCAAAGCCACTGCTGATGACGATGATGATGATGATGATGACACGTTGACGCTGTTTTCGTTCCACTTCTGGCGCATCATTCTGGACGAAGCACACCTGATCAAGAACCGCAGCACCATCGGTGGGCTTGTGGTGTTGTTTGTTTGTTTGTTTGTTTGTTTGTTTGTTTGTTTGTTTGTTTGTTTGTTTGTTTGTTTGTTTGTTTGTTTGTTTGTTTGTTTGTTTGTTTGTTTGTTTGTTTGTTGTTTGTTTGTGTGTATGCATTGGTGCCACGACGCAAGGTCTGAGACTGCTGACCGTTTGCATTTGTCAACTTGTTGCATCAGGTGCCAAGGCGTGCTACCGGCTGAGCGCCCAGCGCCGGTGGGCAATGACAGGAACACCAATCCAGGTACGTGTGTGTGCGTGTGCAGTTTCGTGCCTTCTTTGATGTGTTGTCTTCTTGCATGCGTGCGGGGATCGAGAAGAACACTGTTGCTGACGTGATGTCCGTTGGTTTGATGTGTTTGCAGAATCACTTGGAAGATGTGTTTTCGCTGCTGAAGTTTCTTCACCTCGAGCCGTGGTGCTCATGGGGCGTTTGGAGAGGTGCGCTGGCCGCCCTGTGTGTGTGCGTGTGCGTGTGTGTGTGTGTGCACAGTTGCGCCGTGTTGGTGTGCTGTGCTGTGTTACGTGAGAAGAATGCGCTTTGTCAAGATGCATTCGTTCCGCGTGACATTCCTTTGATGTGATGGTGCCTGTCCAGAGCACATTCAAAGCATTTTCAGCGAGGACGAGGATCGAGCCGTGGAGCGATTGCAGGTGACAACGAAACCGCACAGCCGCCACAACTCAGCACTCATGCTCATACCCACGCACAGTTGTACGCCTGCATACCCACGCACACCTACATACCCACGCACATCTACACACACACATACACACACACGCACGCACAACACACAACACACACACACGCTCACACACACACGCTCACGTGCAAACGCAAACACACGACCGCGTGCGCATGTACAGATGGTCCTTCAGCCGATTCTTCTCCGCCGGACGAAGACAACAAAGGACAGACACGGCCGTCCCATCCTCTCGCTCCCATCCAGCAACTCAACCGTCCGCGAACTCTCAATGTCCCCCGCTGGTGAGCGCACTGCGTGATGTATGTGTGTTGGATGTGTGTGCGTGTGACATGTGACACGTGGGCGTTTCACTCGTGTTGTCGTTGCGAATTGAACTGAATGCACACGCAAGCACATGTTCTCGATGCGTTGTCTGTGTATCTCCCTCTTTGCCTCACAACCTCTGCTGATGCCAGAACGCGAATTCTACGAGGCCATCCTAATGCGTTCAAAGAAGAAATTCAGGGAATTTGAAGCCACGGGCAAGGTCAGCCACACACACACACACACACACACACACACACACACACACACACACACACACACACACCCACACACACACACATACACATACACACACGCACACACATACATACAAGCGTCGGGTTGCACAGATATGCGCGACATCAACCCGTTTCACTGTCATCCCCTAACACCATGACTACCAACTGTGCATTCTCTTGTTGTTGTTGTTGTTATTGTTTGTTTTTGTGTTTGGTTTGTTTGGGTGTGGGGTGGTGTATCAGGTGTTCTCGAACTACACGAACATCCTCGAGCTGCTGCTTCGCCTCCGCCAGGCCTGCGACCACCCGCTCCTTACTCTTCGCGACGCCCCAGCAGACAAACAGCGCCCAACAGCAGGTACTGCAATTGTTTTGTTTGATGTTGGTGTGTGTGTGTGTGCGTACATGCGTGTGGATGAATGGAGACACCACATTACCACCACCCACATTGCCACTGCCACTGCCACTGCCACTGCCCCAGGTGTTGCTGCGCGGACCTTCAGCGACATTGAGGCGCTGCTTGACGCGTACCTCGCCACCGACGAACCAACAGCCACCTCCACTGCCAACGCCCTGCTCCATGATGACGACGATGACGATGACAATGGCGGTCACCGTGATGGTGGCTCCGTGGCCAAGGGTGGTGTATCCAAGCAAGCGGCCGATGCGGTATCGAATGGGACAATACTGCCAGCACGCAAGAGCACTTCGCCGCCTCTGGTGCGTGGTACAGCAGCACCAGCAACGGCCACAACGACGCCCATCGCCTACGAGCAGCCGTCGACGTCATCATCATCATCATCAGCAACAGCAGCAGCGATGACAGCGTCACGGAAGCTGGAGTACGCGAGCAACAAGCGCAAGGAACTTACCGCGCTGCTGCAAAGTGCGTGGTGGTGAATCTGGTGGCGTGCACTTGGAGTTAATGCGTTGTCCGTTGTGTTGTGTTGTGTTGTGTTGTGTTGTGTTGTGTTGTGTTGTGTTGTGTTGTGTTGTGTTGTGTTGTGTTGTGTTGTGTTGTGTTGTGTTGTGTTGTGTTGGGTGGTTTTATTTGTTGGTGATTGCTGTTGTGATCATGCGTTGGTGTCATATGGATACACGTGCGCACTGCGTTTGACTGAATTCCCAAACTTCCCGTACCTGAACAAGCAATGCAACCCCATCCGTGTCCAGCAGGTGCTGGGAGCAAGGCGCCGGATGCCTCCAGCGAGTGCTGCATCTGCTTGGACACAATCGACTCCCCCGTTGTCACGCCCTGCCTCCACGTCGGCTGTGCCTCCTGCCTTCGTGATGTCGTCGCCAGGTCGGTTCTGTGTGTGTGTGTGTGTGTGTGTGTGTGTGTGTGTGTGTGTGTGTGTGTGTGTGTGTGTGTGTGTATGTGTGTGTGTGTGTGTGTACCGTGATGTTGACAACTGCATTGTTTGCAAGTTGCCTGATTGAGGCTTTGTATTCCTCATGGAACAATCTCACCCAGCCACCCTTGCTGGCGTATCCAAACTCCTGTACATCCATATTCAAACACACACTGTCAGGTTTGGGCAGTGTCCCGTTTGCCGGAAGGCTGTGCGTGTGGATGAGCTTGCCAGCATCGCACACGGCACGCACAGCAGCATGAGCAGTGGTGGCAGTGGTCGTGGTCGCCAAGACAACTCCTCAACAGCACACGCACCACCCACAACCGGCATTGCCAGTGTTGTTCATTCCTCAGACCCTTCGGAGGTGTGTGGGTGTGTATGTGTGTGTGTGTGTGTGTGTGGGTGGGTGTGGGTGTGTGACACCTCTCTCTCTCTCTCTCTCTCTCTGTCTGTCTCTGTCTGTCTCTCTCTGTCTCTCTCTGTCTCTGTCTCTCTCTGTCTCTCTGTGTGCACGCTTGCAGAATGCATCAGCTTACGCTGTGTACTGGTGCGATCTTTGATTGCGTGCGTGTGTGCACATGCAGCCCTTCAAGTATTCGACGAAGATTCGTGCGCTTCTCTCTGAAATCAAAGCCATGCGCCAGGTAACCACTGTGCATGTGTGTGTGTATGTGTGTGTGCGGCGTCCTTTTGGGATCCTTCCTTACACGCGTGTGGATACATGTGCGCGCTTGAATAGGAGGATGAAAGCAACAAGTGTATTGTGTTTTCGCAATGGACATCCATGCTGGACTTGATCCAGGTCTGCCGCACCTACGCGCGCGCGCGCGCGTGTGTGTGTGTGTGTGTGTGTGTGTGTGTGTGTGTGTGTGTGTGTGTGTGTGTGTGTGTGTGTGTGTGTGTGTGTGTGTGTGTGTGTGTGTGTCGTTTGTAGAATCCTTGTGCCATTGTTTGCGCAATTGCTTTTGCAGTTGTTTGTGGAATCCTGTTGTTGCGACCCACGGGTGCCGCAGCGTTCCACGCTCACACCCCGATGACATGCACACGGCAGCGGGCGGTTGAGTCGGGCGGGTACACGACGGCGCGGCTGGACGGCAGCATGTCGCAACAGGAGCGTTCCCGCGCCCTCGCCACCTTCAAATCAGACCCGACGTGCACGGTGTGTGTGTGTGTGTGCGTGTGTTTACTGTTTGTTTGCGTTGTGTGTGTGTGTGTGTGTGTGCGAATGCTGGCATTTGTGTGTACTGTTTGTTTGCGTGTTGTGTACACGTGTTTCCTTTGCACTGTACACCGTCAAAGGTGCAGACGGCCACCGCTGACTTGCTGTTACTATGTTGTTGCGTTGTTGCTTTTGGGCAGGTGTTTCTGATCACGCTTCGGTCTGGCGGCGTTGGCCTGAACCTGACGGCGGCATCGCACGTCATGCTCATGGATCCATGGTGGAACCCTTCAGGTTGTCACCAAAGGAAGCACGCGGAGTGTGTGTGTGTTGATTGAAAGGGGGGAGGGAGGAAGCTTGTGTCGATGCGCATCTTGTGCATGTGCATCTTGTGCATATGTGTGTGTATGCGCGCATCGTGCGCTGTCTGTGTGTTCTCACTGTCACATATGCCTTGCCCTCACCCGTCACCTTCCCTTCCTCTCACCCCCTCATCTCTTCCCCCCCCCTCACCACCTCACCCATCTTTCACGCATGCCCGTGCCCATGTGGCACAGTGGAGGAGCAAGCGATTGACCGCGTACACCGGATTGGCCAGGACAAGCCCGTCTGCGTCAAGCGCTTCATCATGCTGGGAACAGGTGCGCTGGCTGGTTGCTTGGCTATTGCTTGGCTGGTTGGCTGGTTGGCTGGTTGGTTGGTTGGTTGGCTGCTGGGCTATTCGTTGCCATCCCTGCCATGCGCGCCAACCCGCGCCAACACGCCCCGACCACACCCCACCCACCGCCAACCAACCCGCCAATCAGAGCCAACCAAAACCTTTGCGGCATATTGCTGTCCACCCTCAAATCATCATCTTGCTCACTCTCACTTTGAACGCTCATCTTGACTCATGTCCATGGCCACTCCTGCTGTCCTTGCGATGGATTGTCACGTCATGTCACACACCACCAAAACATCTGCCACAAACAAACCACCAAACCACACAAAAACAAACAACAAAAAGTGGAGGAAAGGATTCGTGTGCTGCAGGCGAAAAAGTGCCAGCTTGTGCAAAGCGCGCTCGCCTCGTCATCGTCCATCACAGGCACAGCAACAAGCGGTGCGTTTCCACTGCAACAACGACTCGCACGACATGATGCACTCATTGTCTTCATGTCGTTCGACCTTTGCTTGCTTGTTTTGCTTCTTTGGCCAACGCTCGCACGTGTCGCGCCATTTTGTTCGTGTTTGTGTTTGTGTGGACGGCAATGGTGCATGTAGGCTGGGATGATCGTTTCGCGCGGTGGTTCTGACGCAAGTTGTTGACGCTGTCACTCTTCCGTTTGCCTGTGCTCCTTTTTTTCTGTTCGGCTTTGCTTATGTGGCTCGCTCTCTGCGTTGTGCTTTTTCCCACGCGCAGGTGGTGGCGAAATGGACGCGAAACGGCGGGAGCGCCTCAATGACCTGCGGCTTCTGTTCGGGTTTTGATGGTGCAGCGCAAGCCATGATAATGGCGCGACCTTTCATCGTCCGATCTGTCGCGCCGCTTGGGTTTGCTTGGGCTTTTTCGTGCGTGTGTGTGTGTGTGTGTGTCGCCACCATTTTCAAAGCCCCGCGTGCACATGGGACGAAACCGCACGCACACAGCACGTGCAATCAAGTACAGAAGCAAGCACTCGCACGCGCTGATTTCCTGTCATGGTCGCATTCAAACTGTTGGCGGCACCGGACATTTGGTGCGAATCCCCATAGTTGTGCGAAGATATAAACAACATTCCGATTTTTGAAAAGGGCATTCGCCACTGTCGTTTGTCCATCAAGCAAAAGCAATTTGGCCACTGCACACACAAATAACGGAACGGCAGCTTCACGCTTGCTGTTGTGTGTTGTTTTGCTGTGTTGCCCCCTTATTCTCGTTGTTGTTTCCTACTGCCACACACACTTCTCGCTTGTGTTTGCAGTGTGCGAGGTTTGGTTGTTGGTTGTGGTTGTGTGCGGTTTGTGTGGCAGTGGGACACAGCACGGTTGGCTTGTGGGCGAAAAGCTTCGCAACTCCCAACCACGCCTCGCACATCGAGACCCCCCCCCAAAAGTCCACGTTAGGCTGGCTAGCTGTACTGATTTGCCTTCGCGGGGTCCCCGTTGTGTACTTGTTGTTTGTGTTTGCGTGTGTGTGCACACTCGCACGTTTGGGTTTCTCTCAGCGTGTGCGTGTGTGCGTGTGCGTGTGTTTTGTGAGACTGTAGCGCACACAAACAACACTGCACGCTCGCACGCACACCACCACGGCACCCACGTCGACACCACAGCAGGAGTCGCGGTGTGTGTGTGTGGAGCAAGTGGTTGGTCTCCTTGCGTCCATTGTGCTGTCTCTCTCTCTCTCTCTCTCTCTCTCTCTCTCTCTCTCTCTCTCTCTCTCTCTCTCTCTCTCTCTCTTTTTCCTCTTTTGTTATTACGTACACGACCCACCACCACACGCGTGTGAGCAACTCGCGACATTTTCCTCTTCCCCCCTTGCTCTTCCACACTGCAGCACAGCAAAGCCAGCACGGTAAGGTGTTGTTGGTTGCCTTGGATGCTGCACTGCTGCTGCATTGTCGGTTTTCGATATGGATGGCATCGTGGGATGCGTGTGTTGTTTTTTGGGATCCCGCGTGTGTTGTGTTACACCCACGCTGCATCAGCAGCTCACACACACACATCATCATCGTCATCATCATCATCAGCAGCAGCAGCAGCAGCAGCAGCAGCACATCACCCGGCCCACCGCACACATCGTCGCTCACTCTCATCCTCCGTTTCGAATTCCATCTGCTGCTGTCCTTCCTTCGTCGTGCCTTGCACTGCCACCTTCCCCATCAACATCCAAACAACATCACGGCACCAACAGAGACGCCACCTCGACTGTCCATACCCACACAACAAGCACCAAGGGAACACCTTCACACAGGTTGGTGGCCCCCTTGCCATCGCTTGGCACTGCAACGCACCGCTCGACCCTCTGCATAACCACACACACACACACACACACACACACACACACACACACACACAGACAGCACACATGAACAAACAACGCACAAACAGACACAAGAGAGAGCAAGCCACGCCACCACCACCCGAACATCATGAAACCCTCTGCTGTCTCTTGCCATCCTTTCGCAATTTTCCCACCTCCCCTTTGATCAAACGATCTTCTGCACGGCGCGCCAAATCCGTCTCATCTGCCCGGTTGTTCTGGTCGTGACTTTGCCGGACACTCACCCGTGAACTGGTCACTGTGCCGCAACTTTTCGTCTTCCATCACCATCATTTGTTTTTTTTCTTCTCTCGTCTCCCTTCCCACTGACTGTCCTTGCTTTGTTGTTGTTACGTGGCACCGCACACGCGAGGCACAAGCAAGTGTGTGTGATCGTGCTCGCAGCAGAGATTCTCCTCGCTTCGTCCCCTGCACAGTTTCCGCACCACTTGCCCCCCCGCAACCCCCGCACATTCCTTACCTTTTGTTTGCGGTGTGCACAGCCAAACTCGTTGTCTGACTGTACTCCACACAACAACCGCACGTTGACCGGCCCAGCGTTTGCGAACCAGCCACACGCACGCACACGCCGGGTCATCATTCCTTTCTTGCCCTCCACTGCCACCACCCACCACTGTGTATCGATTGACGCAGCGCGCCGTTTGCTTTCCTCCGCCCTGGTTTTGCTTTGCGCGCTTGCTCCTCTCCCTCCTTTGTCGTTGGTCTCTTCGGTGTTCACCGTGCAGTCGTGAGTGCGCGTTTGTGTGATTGAGAGGGAAGGTGGTTCGGCTTTTGGCGCGCCAACCACCCTCTTCCATTCCCCTCAACTGCATGCGCCTCTCCCCTCTTTCTCTATCAACAACACCATTCTCCATACCCCTCTCGTCCTCTCACTCTCCTTCTCCGTCTTCCATTACCTCTTTTCCTTCGCCTACACACGAGCGGCGGCGAACCACACACGCACACGCACACCACATTACACCCATCGCACACGAGCTACGTTGGTCAACTTGCCATCATGTCTGACATCTACCATGCCTTTGCCCGGGCCATGCACGCAAACGCGGCCTCTCAGCGACAGGAGTCTCGGTTCCGAACACTTGCAGGAGCGAGGATCAACCACAGACCAATCCTTCGTCGCCGCACCCTTCCAACAACCCCATCAGCTGCAACACTACGAACAGCCTTGCTGGCTTCTTCATCGACACCAACATTGACATCTGTGACTTCCTCCTCCTCCTCCTCCTCCTCCTCCTCCTCCTCCTCCTCCTCCTCCTCCTCCTCGACCTACCATCAACCACACAAGCGCCCCATCCTCGACATTTCCCCTTCCAACCACCGTGCCACCTCTCAGCCAGCAGCACCTTCAGCGTCAGCCAAGGCCTTTGCGCTCGCCTCGCGATCCTCCCCCGCCAAGCACCCACACTCTACCGACACCATCTGCGCGTCTCCAGCGCGCACGTGTGCCACCCCGCAATTATCCTCCACGCCAACATCCACCCCGCCCAGGCCAAGCAAGATGGCGCTCCACCCTGCCACGTCTTCACCCGCGCTCAGTGCCGATCCAACCGCCATGCACATGCACCATCACCACGAGCACATGTGGTGCGCTCAGCAGCAGTCCACAAAGCCCGTGCATGATTATCCTTTCACAATCAATCCATTTCGTCCCGTCAGCCCGGAAGACGAGTCAACCAGCGCCAACACAGGCACGCCGCCCACGCCTCACGACCCATGCCGCTCCAACAACCCCAACGACTCGCATCACTTTTTTGGCCAGGCCTTTGAGCACCATCAGCACGACGAGTACGACGCTGCGTCGCAACCCGAACCCACAGACAGCCCCCAATCTTCCCAGCAATCCATCCGCCGCACCAGGTGCGCCTTGCCTTGCAAGCGAGCTGTGTGGATGCCTCTACGTTTTGTGTGCGAGCGCCTGTATGTGTGTCTTGTGCGAGTGTATGTGCGGATGTGTGTGTGTGTTTGTCCTTGTGTGCGTGCGCCCACGCTCGCTGCAGGTTCTGGGTTGGACCTCACGCCTGACGTCTGACCTCTTTGTTACGCTTTTGTTATTCGGTTTCCTCAGATCAATTTCAGCCATGTCTGACCTGGAGCACGCGACACAGCGCATGTGCCGTGACGAAGACGAAGAAGACGACGACTTGCAGAGGTTTGTTCCTGGATCCACATGAGACACTGCGCTTTGCACTCAATTCACACACACACACACGCACACGCACACGCACCCTCGCACGCACCGTTGCTCACCTCGATGCTCTTGCCTCTCCCCCCCCCCCCCCAACCTTGAATTGCGGCCGGTGTGTTTGCTTGCAGTGTGTTTGCGCCTCGTCTGACGCGCACGTGCTCGGATGCAACACCTGCGTCGCCCGCCATGGCCACGCCAAGGACCACCACCACACCATCGTCACGCACCAAGCCAAAGCACCACCGCGCCAGCCGTCGTGGCTCTGCCACTGTGGCCTCTGTGCGTGACGCTGCGTCCACCTCCGGCTGCACCACCCCTCCGCGCCACGCGTCAGCGGCCCCTGCCGCCACCCCCACGCGGCGCTCCCGGCGCAAAGTCGCCCGCCGCCGCAGCTGCGCGTCTCCGAGTCCGCGCGCATCGCCCATCTCGCCACTGCACCTGCAAACGACGTTTGACTGGGCCATGACACCGCCGCGCCGTCTGGGAAGTACCGCCCTCAGGGAGCGCTCCCACTCCATTGCCTCTGGCACAGACTTTTACAGCACCCACGTCGACGTTGTCCAGCCAAAGCGCACCAGCAGCAGCTTCAACGGCGCTGGGGTGGCCACGCGACCCTCTACGGCGCTGGGGTGGACGCTGCTTGGAGACGCCATCCCCGAGGAGGACACAAGCGGGCGCCTGTCGCCAACCCCGGACCAGCCGTCCCCGCTCATGGCCAACTCGCCAGCCGTGCTCGCCTCGCGTAACTCGTCGCCCCCGCCAACAGCTGCGCAGCCCTGCGTCTCGCTCAGCCTCGACGAGACGCCGCAGCAGAACCACTCCCAGTACCGCGCCCTCCACTCCCATTCCCACTCCCAACAGCACCAGCACCAGCAGTTGTGCACCAATGCCATGGATGCCACCACGACAGCGCCTGCGCCCGCGACGACGTCGTCATCATCATCAACTGCTGCCCACCAGCAGCATCAGCGGCGCGCTCCACTGCTGCGCAGCTGCTCCGACTCGTCTGCGTTTTCGTGCGCGACGGCGACAGAGTCGGCGCTGGCGTCGTTTGCACGTGCACGGCGCGCCCTCCCCACAGGGAAGCAGGTTGCCCGCACCCTGCGCATGCGTTGTGACAGTGGGTCCAGCCCGGCTCTTGCCAGCGAGGCTGTCGTGCGCTCGGCAGCGTCGGCCACGCTGGCAACCACCACCTCTTCAGGACACACCCGCACTGCCACCGCCACAGTGGCATCAGCGACCACCGTCACAGCCACCGCGAGTGCTGGCAGCACCGGGTTTGCCGAGGGCGAGGCGAGCGACTGCCACTTCCGATCGCCATCGCAGCACGTGGTCGACACCACAACCAAGGAAAACACCAACCCAGCGCAGCTGCCGATGAACAGTGCTGGCGATGGTGGCGATGGGCATGCGAGCGTCAATCCTGCTGGCGGCAACACCAGCGCTCTGGAAGGCAGCAACCCGCCGCGCATTCTGCCTTGCAGGCAGAACGCAGACAAGCCCGGGTATATCATCACGTGTGACGTGCTCAACGACGTGCTTGACGGCAAGTACAACCACGCCATTGACCAGGTGTACATTGTCGACTGCCGGTTTGGGTTTGAGTTTGAGGGCGGCCACATTCGCGGCGCGCACAACCTGTGGCGCCGCAACGAAGTGCTTGAGTTTTTCATGCACCCCGAGGCCATCACCGGCCGCCGGGCGCACCGGCGCACCGTCATTGTCTTCCACTGCGAGTTTAGCTCGCACCGCGCACCAAGCCAGTTTGAGTACATGCGCGACATGGACCGGCTCATCAACCAGGAGCACTACCCGCACCTCATCTACCCGGAGATGTATGTGCTCAAGGGCGGGTACAAGGCGTTCCACGAGGCGTACCCGCAGCACTGCACCAACAGCGGCGGCTACTGCACCATGTTTGCGGAGCGGTACGAGCAGCAGCGGCGCCAGGCCCAGACCACGCTCAATGCCAGCGTCCGCGACGCGCGGCAGAACAAGACGTCCGTTGCCGACGCGTACCGGCGCCAGTCGTGCGGTGGCCAGCCCGCCTAGCTAACTGCTGCCCGTGGCGATATGTTGGTGATAATGGTGATGGTGGTGACTGCAGCACTTTTGAGGGTCACGATACATTGTAGTCGTCACGGTTACTGCTGCTGCTGCTGTTGCTGCTTTTTCTTTCTCTCTTGCGCTGCTCTGATGAGCATGTGTCGGGTTCCACGGCGTGTCCTGGCATGTGGGGTTCCGGTACTGTGTCTTTGTGTATTGTATGTGCTGCGTGATTGTTGGACGCCCCCCTTATGTATTTGGGTTGCGTCAGCGTATGTGATTTTTGTGTGCTTGTGTGTTTATGTATTGTGTATTGTACTGCCGTTGGGATGCCCTGTGCGTCCCTTGAGTGTTAATCAACCTCAAAATCCTTTTGCAGTGTGCCTCTATGCTCGCTGTGCAAAGGCGCCCTGGTCTCTCCCCTCCCCTCCCCTCCCCTCTGACTCTTTTCACTTGATCGTGTGATGTGAGCCCTTCTTGGTTGTAGGCGTCTTGTGCTGTTGGTGACCAGGTCTTTTCCGTAACTGCAGTATTTTTTTAAGAGATGTGTTGTTCTTTTGGTGGTGGTGGTGGTTGTCATTATGTCTCGTCGACCATTGTGTATGTGTGTGTGTGTGTCTAATTGCGGCGCGCGTGGTGCATTTCGTGCGCCTTGTGTCGTATTGGTCATCTTTTCTCACCAGTCCAGTTGAGCGCCAATCTAATGTGCGTCTTGTGGTGGTGGTGGTGGTGGTGGTGGTTTGTCTGTCGTTTGTCGACAGCGTGTCCTCACCGCCCTCCCCCCCCCCCCTTCTTTCACTCGGTTCATTGCCATCTGTTTGCGCCTGCGGCGCCTTGGGTTTCGTCGCATCGTTACAACTAAACTGCGCAGCTCTCTTCACAGTGCTAGCAAGAAGGCATAATGAGATAAATGTGACAGGGGAGGGGAAGGAGTGTACGTGGGCCTTTGTTCATGTTTGCTTGATGTGGATGAGGCCTTGCGTTTCATAAGGAAGGCGCCATGTCGCGCGTGTGTTTCGTGTATTTGCTCGAGTACGTCAAGGGCAAGGAAGCATTCACCAGCGTGAACATGAGAACACAGGCAACTCAGCGGCAAGGCAGGGGCACACGCAGTGACAGGCGGAGGCAGTCACAGTCGCAGAGACACAGTCAAGCGAACAAACACACACGCACACACGCACAATCAAACAGACAGACGCGCTCGCGTAACAAAGGAACACTTACACACACACACTTACACACACACACACACTTACACACACACACACACTTACACACACACACACACTTACACACACACGCGCGCACACACACACTCACACACACACACACACATGTGATGGATCAGGAAATGGGGGAGTAACCGGAGCGAGTGCCGCGCGCGTGCTTAACGGCGAGCAAGATGAGGCCAATCAAGGCGGCGCCACCAAGCACGCCGCCGATGATGGCGCCAGTGATGGGCGAGGGGTTCTTGTTGCCGTTGCTGGGCTCGTAGTGGAAGCTGACCTGCCCGTCGACGCCACACCCGACCTGCGTGCAGGCGGAGACGGTGATGAAGTAGTTCTGGTTCACGGCAAACTCAATCGCGCCGGGGAGCGCAAGCGTGGCGTTGGTAATGGTGGTGGTGTTGGTGGCAAGCAGGCGCAGGTGCGGCGTGGCGGCCTCGTACACGCTGACGTTGTAGTGGGTGATGTTGCAGCCGCCGGTACGGGGCACCGTCCACCACGCAGACACGCGCGATGCCTCGATGGACGTGACGTTGATGGTGGTGACAGATGCGGGCGCCGTGGCAAGGAAGAAGGTTGTTGTCGTGCTGTTCATGCACGGCGTGCCGCGGCCGCCGTTGAGGACAAGCGAATTGAGGATGGTGGCCGTGACGTGAGTGCACGTTGGCTGCACGTATCCGCCAAACGAGCGATCGTACGCGGGCACGTCCCTGAAATGCCACGTGCGCGTGTTGTCTGTCAGGGTCACGCTGCTGGTCATGGTCGTGATGATACCGAGCGGGAAGGGGGGCTCCACATGGAACTTGAGCAGGACGTCCGACGAGGTATCGTTGTTCCAGGGCAGGCTCACCGTAGTGTCGAGGATGAGGGTTGTGCAGCGCGTGTACCCTGCCTCGACCTGCATCAAGCTGGTGCTTTTGTTCGTGAAGTGCGTCTGTGCGCTGTACCAGATGTACTCGGGCCCAAGCGGGTTGCTGATGTAGGCAAAGTTGCCACCGGTCTGCGCCGTCACGGGGTCCTTGCCTGCGTCCTGCGTGGTGAGCACAATGTCGGCATCGGTCAGCTGCGCGTTGACCCAGGTGATGACTGGCTGGCCCACGTCGCCCGGGGCGAGGTAGAGCGTGTTGTTGAGCTGGTTTTGGCCGGCAGAGGATGCGTTGCATGCGCAGGCGAACTTGTTGGCGCCAGCCTGCTGAGCGAGCGGCGACAGGTGGCAGGTCTTGCCGCCCTGGATATCAGCGCCGTTCTGCACGCGCGTGCACGCGCCGATGCTTGCCAATCCGTGCTGCGGCAGGCACGCCAGCACAACTACAAGCGCAGCCATGCCCGCCATCATCACCATACGGCCAGAGGGCGCCATCGTGGTGGTACCTTGTGCGTGCGTGTGTGTGTGCGTGTGCGTGTGTGTGTGGGGGGGGGGGGGTGGAGAAATGATACCGAGGTGATCGCGCGTGTGTGGTGTTGTGTGTGGTGCGTCTTGCGTGGAATGAGGGTGGTTGTCTTCGCTTGTGCTTTCTTTCGATGGTGAATGACGATGACTCATCAACGGAAGGAAGGGCAAAAGACGAGGCGGCAAGCAAGCAAGCAAGCAAGTGAGCACGCACGCAAGGCAGCGTTCTTGCTCCACTGTGCACACGCGTCCACACGCACACACATCACACGCACATGCACACACATGGCACATGTACACACTCGCGTACACGCACATACCATGGTCTGGCTAGTGCGTCCACTTACGCCAGGCGCCAGCCATGTGGTGAACCCCGTAATCGCCAAAGCGAAACTTGTCGTAGGGGTGTGGGTACAGGACGGTGACGTGCTGCTGCTCCGCTGGAGACGACTGGTTGTACACGTGCGACACAAGGTCCGGCCCGCTCGTGGTGAAGATGTACACGTCCGAGAAGCGAGGCGGCACGTCCGGGCTGATGAACTGCGCGTATATGGCCTCGATGACCCGCCGGAGGAACGGGTGGTGGCGGCGCGCGCCAAACGCAAACTGGCCCAGCTGCGGGAACTCGCGGCTGCAGTCGATGTATGGCCAGGGCCACCGTCCGTACTGCCCGTGCTTCCGGCAGATGTCTGTGGGTATCATCTCCTCGTGCGGGAACACGGCTTCCTGGTCGAGCAGCGGCGCCAGTCCTTGCTCCAGCTCCACGTCCATGTCCAAGTAGAACCCGCCATAGTGGTACACCGCAAGCATTCGAAACAGATCGTACCTATAGAATGTGGGTTGGGAGAAGTAGGGGTGGGTGGTGGGAGGGGATGACAGTTCAGGGTGTGTGCGCGCGCGCGCGCGTGTGTGTGTGTGTGTGTTAGCTGCGGTGGTGATAAAAAAAAAGAGGGGACACATGCAACCAAACCAACACTAACACACACACACACACACACACACACACACACACACACACACACACACACACACACACACACACACACACACACACACACACACACAACCCTTGTCGAGAAAAGCGCATACAGCACATGCACCACCACCCCAACTTCCTCCTCATCCCATCTCACACGCACCGCTGCACGCGAAAGGGTCCAATAAGGTGGTCCCACATGAACTTGAGACGTGGGAAATGGGTGGCCACAAAGTCGTTCACCTCTTGGTCATCAAAGAGCATGTACTCAAAGTCAGGGTTGAGCCGTTGCATCTTGTGCAAAAACTTGTTGAAGCGTCCGCGTGGTCGGTGCGTCTTCCACGTCTGAATGATTCTCCTTGGAATCCCGCTGCTCGAATCGTTCACGGGAACCTCTGGCCAGCAAACTGATGCTACAAACGCCAGTTGCTGCTGCGTCTGCGGCTGCTGACGTTGTTCTTGCTGCTGTGTCTGTGTACTTATTTGCGGCTGTGGTGGTGGTGGTTGTTGTTGTACATCCTCCTTCTTCGTCTCTGCGTGTTTGCCAGGCGGGTGTTCCCAGTCACACCTGGCGTGACTAGTTCCATTTTCACCGTCATCCGTCGTACTCCTGTGAGTTTCATAAACACAGCCGTCATTACCATCATCGCCGCCATCGTGCCTGTTGAAGTATTTGCTGCCACCGTTGTGCGTGACAGCGAAAAGGGCGTCACTGGTGCACTCCATCATGGGTTCCCCCTCGCACGCGCCAAACGCGGTGCCAGCAGCTGCCGCAGCTTCTAAGCTCGTCATCCTCATCTCGGCCAGTTCACTGTCGTACAATGTGCGCGCAAACTCATTTCGCGCCACCCGCGCCGCTGCAGCCCCTCCACCACCTGCTGCTATGCTGAGCACCACGACACACACAACCACCATCCAACATGTTCCCGCTGGTGTTGCCACTGCTCGTCTTCGTCTCATCCTCCAGCTCATCATGTGTGTGCGTGTATGCGTGTATGTGTGTATGTGTGTATGTGTGTATGTGTGTGTGTGTGCCGAGTGTGTGTGTGTGTGTATGTGTGTATGTGTGTGTGTGCCGAGTGTGTGTGTGTGTGTGTATGTGTGTGTGTGTCACATCACAACATCATCACAACAAGAAGCAAGCAAGTGCACAAGCGAGACCATCGTCGCTCACTGCCAGTCCTTTCTGTGACGATTGGTTAATATCATTCGCAAATCGTCTGCATTGCAATCGTTGAGGATGACGATGATGACGAGGATGAACTTCCCAGCAGCGATTGTTGCCTGCGTCCTCGTCGCTGCTGCAGTTGTTGTTGCTGCAGCTGATGCGCGGACCGCACCCCGCAACAGCTCCAGCCAACCCAACATTGTCTTCGTGAGTGTGTGTGTGTGTGTGTGTGTGTGTGTGTGTGTGTGTGTGTGTGTGTGTGTGTGTGTGTGTGTGTGTGTGTGTGTGTGTGTGTGTGTGCTGTGTGTGTGTGTGTGTATGTGTGTGTGTGTGTGCTGTGATGTGATGTGGTAGAAGAGGTGGCTGGACTGGGATGGTTCTGTGGGTGCTGTTTTTTGTTTTGGTGCGTGTTCGTGAAGCATACACTCGCTGACAGCCGTGTTTGGTGCTGCCCATTCACTGCCTCCGTCTCCGTTTTTGTCATCAAATCACAACAGATTGTCATTGATGACCTCGGCTTTGATGATGTTGGCTTCAAGTCCCATCAAATCAAAACGGTGCAGCACTTGCGTGCGCGCGCGCGCGTGTGTACGTGTGTGTGTGTGTGCGTGCGCGTGTGTACGTGTGTATATGTGCGCATGCGTGAATTTTTGTGTGTGTGTACGTGTGTACGTGTGTGTGTGTACGTGTGTGTGCGTGTGTGTACGTGTGTGTGTGCGGTGTGCGGTGTTGTATGCAACCTCCTTAATCGTCTCACCCAGCACCCAAATCACCCGACTGAAATCACCCCTCTTTCAACCCTCGTCCGACCCACATGCAGCCCAACATTGATCAGTTGGCATCGGAATCATTGCTGTTGGAACGCTACTATCTGCAGGATGTCTGCTCACCAACCAGGCAAGTCGTTGCTCCATCACACCCGCTTCTTAAGCTCTGCTGTCGCGCACGCTTCGATGTTCATTACAACGTTGGGCTCACCCTCTAACTTCGTTGTTAACCACGTTCACATCAATTGCACACGCCGACCGCAGGGCCTCCATCTTGAGCGGCCGCTATGCCATGCACCACGGGTAAGGGGCGAGCTGCAGTTGTCTCGTGATGTTGATGAGCTGTTCATTATGTGTGTGTGTGTGTGTGTGTGTGTGTGTGTGTGTGTGTGTGTGTGTGTGTGTGTGTGTGTGTGTGTGTGTGGTTTGGGGACAGTGGTCTCAACTTGTGGCATTGCAACAAAGGGCGTCTCGTCTACGAACACCACCACCAACGTTGGCCTGTGGTGCTGCTTGTCTTCTCTGCAGCATCGTCAACTGGATTCCACCAAAAGACAGCTACGGCCTGCCTCTTAACCACACAACGCTCCCTCAGCTCCTCAAGAACGGCGGCTACGACACCCACGCCATCGGAAAGGTGTGCCTTGCATGCGTGTATTTTGTATGTGTGTTTGTGTGTGTATTGTGTGTGTTGTGTGTGTGTGTGTGTTGTGGCTGTGAGACTGCCTTTTGTACTGTGCTTTACTGAGGTCTTGTGTTTTGTTTCGTGTTTCTGTGTGCCGTGCATGAAGACACGCGTTTCCCACCCCTGACGCTTTGTTTGGTTGTCGCATCGATCTCCTTTGCTACAGTGGCACCTTGGGTTCTACAAATGGGACTACACCCCAACTTTCCGCGGTACGCCCACTGTGTGTGTGTGTGTGTGTGTGTGTGTGTGTGTCTGTGTCTGTGTCTGTGTCTGTGTCTGTGTCTGTGTCTGTGTCTGTGTCTGTGTCTGTGTGTGGGGGTGTCTACCGGCCTTGGCTGCTGTTGCTATCGTCTACTTTCCCTCCATGTTTGACCCTGAGATGTTTTGTGCTCAACAGGCTTCAACTCCTTCCTTGGGTACTACTCGGGTGGCGAAAACTATTTTACCCACAAGAACGGCCCCGCATATGACATGCACCGCGATCCCCTTCCAAGCTGTGGGCAAAACTGCAGCCAAATTGCATTTGACTTGCGTAAGTCATGTCTTGCGCACTGCGTGTGTGTGCGTGTGTGTGTGTGTGTGTGTGTGTGTGTGTGTGTGTGTGTGTGTGTGTATGTGTGCGTGTGCATGTGTGTGTGTGTATGTGTCTGTCTGTCTGTCCGTCTGTCTCTCTGTCTCTGTCTCTGCTTCTGTCTGTGTGCTTGCGAGCGCAATGGTTTCGTTTTGTTGGTTTGTGCTCACGCACATGAGCTCGCGGCTCACACCTGCCCCCTCCCTCCGTCCACATCATCGCCCCCACCCCACCGCGATCACCCTGCTGCACTGCGACCAGAGGGCCAGTACTCGACCACCATCTTCTCCGACGAGGCCGTGCGCGTCATTGACGACCATATTGGACCAAAGCCGCTCTTCCTCTACCTCGCCTACCAGGCCGTCCACGAACCCGCACAGGTGCGCATGTATGTATGCATGTATGTATGTGGCCATGAAATTGGGCAGTGCGTGCGCAGCTTCTTTTGTGACGTTACTGATCGTCTTCCTTCCACTCATAACCGCACACACACTCACACACTCTCTCTCATTTCAACACATACACGCTCACACATGTACGCACACATGCCCATACGGGCATGCACACACAACAGGCACCCCAGAGTTACATCGATCCATACACAGATCTCATCCCAGACGCACAGCGCCGCACCTTTGCAGGTGTGTGAGTACGAGAGAGACACAGAGAGAGAGAGAGAGAGAGAGAGAGAGAGAGAGAGAGAGAGAGAGAGAGAGAGTTGTGCGGTCCCTTGTCTCCAACACTCTTGTGCGACAAGTTGTATCCTTCTACTGCAGCTCATCCAAGAGTCACCCCGCGCTGTGTCTGTCTACCCTTCCCCTGCCCCGTCCACAAGGAATGCTGAGCTGTCTTGACGAAGGCATCGGCAACGTCACGCGCGCCCTCAAGCGGAATGGTCAGCTTATCATGTGCAGGGCTGGCCAAGTGTGTGTGTGTGCACATGTGTGCTTCGTGCATTGACTCTTGCTTGCGTGTGAATCCCTTGAACTGACTCACATGCCCACGCCACGACCACGTGTCTGACGCCAACAGGGTTCTACAACAACACGCTCATCGTCTTCACGACCGACAACGGCGGTCCCATTCTTGGCGGTGATTCTGTTGGTGCCCGCAATTACCCCATGAGGTGTGTGCGTGTGTGCGTGTACCTGCTTGATTGTTCCTGCTTGATTGCTTGCGCGTGTGTGTGCGTATACCTGCTTGATTGATTGCTTGCTTGTGTTCGTGTTCTTCGTCGTACATCCGCATGAGCTATGTGTCTCTCCATCTCATTGACACGCTGATCTCCATCTGTTGCGTCTCGCCGGCTCTGCTCTGCGTGCCTCCAGAGGTGGCAAGCACGCCGTCTACGAAGGAGGTACAACAACAACAGTGCTAATAGTATTTTGTTCGCACGCATTTCATTGCACGCAAGCATCGTCGTTGCAGCTTTGTTCCTTGCACGCATCCAGCATTTCCCCACCACACAAGATGTTCACGCCCCCCCCACACACACGTGCGCCCACAAACACACAAACACACACAAACACACACACACACATCACATACATCCTCAAACGCATCATTCATGCAGGCGTGCGCGGCATTGCATTTGTTCATCCTCCGCAAAACACGTTTGTTGAGACGGGTGCCGGGTATCACAACCTCATGCACGCCGCAGACTGGTTGCCGGTGCGTCACACCCACGCGTTTGTGTGTTGATGCATTTGCTTACTTTCACTGGCTTTTTTGTGGTCGTGTGTCGGTGACGGCCAGTGTGTGGGAAGGAGGTGGGGAGGACGCTTGGCAAGGGATTATCTTTGTTCACGGCATGATCGTGGTTGCTGTGCAATTCGCTCACACATGCAGGCATGCGAGCAGCACCAACAACATCATCATCAAACCCACATACGCACGCACACACACGTGACAACCGCTTGCATGCAAACAATAACGACTCACTTACACACGCACACACACGCACTCTCTCTCACGTTGACGCCTTGTGGACACTCACCGACATTTAGACGCTGTGCGATGCTGCTGGGGTCGAGTGCCACACGCAGCAGTCGCTTGACGGCGTGTCGCATTGGGACGCCATGACCACCAACACCAACAGCACGCTGCGCGGTGATGTTGTCCTCGGTAATGCAACAGACCTGTGCGACGCCACCAACTGTGGTTTTGCGTATCGCAAGGGCGACTGGAAGTTCATTCGCGGTACGGGCGGCATGCCCTTCAGCTGGTCCACACCCATGAACCAGTCAGGAGGTGTGTAGCGCTGTGCGCGTTTGCGTATGTGTGTATGTATGCGTATGTGCATGCATGTATGTATGCGTGAGCGTGTGTGTTGTGTTTGCATACATGTTTTATGTGCACAAGTGTATGTGTGTGGTTGTGGCTTTACTTTCTCTCCGTGCCTGCCTTTGCCCGACACATACATCAATTCTGCCATCCCTCTGTGCACGCTTCCCAGCGTGCGCTTCGCTTGTTGGCGCAGCCCACGTTTGCACGCACCTTCTCTCCCCATCGCTCACCCCCTTCTCACGTCGGTACACTCTGCGTGCGTGTCTTTAGGCAATTGCAACCTTGCGTACGGCCAGTGTGTGGATGGCGCTAGTCTGGGTCGTGTTACCGCCGCCACCGCCGCAGACTGCTGCTACACATGCACCAACACAACCAAGTGCACCTACTCCACCTTCCTGTAAGTGTTGTGTGTGTGCGTGCGTGTGTGTGTGCGTGTGTGTGTGTGTGTGTGTGTGTGTGTGTGTGTGTGCATGCGTGTGTTTGTGTGTGTGTGTGTGTGTGCTTCCTAGCAGTTTAGATGAACCGAAGTCATTGACGCTTCAGGAGCTTGCGCAATATCTCGGCTGCGAGCGTTCCGGCAAACCTCCACTATGAAACGCCGCAGAGTCGCGGAATGTGTCAATGGCGTTTAACGGGTCGTAGGCACGGCTCCCCTGGTGGCGCGGATTAACTCAGCTTATCAGTGTTTCACGTATGTGGCGAATCGCTCTCCCGTTGGCGAATCAATGACAGCCAGTGTGTGTGTGTGTGTGTGTGTGTGTGTGTGTGTGTGCATGCGTGTGTTTGTGTGCGTGTGTGTGTGTGCGTGCGTGTGTGTGTGTGTGTGTGTTTGTGTGCGTGTGTGTGTGTGTGTGTACATGCTGTGGTTTTACCTTGCTACTACCGCTGCTGTTGCTGTTGCTGCTGTACGCTTGTCCACCCCTCCCTTGCTTCTTGCACTTCAGGCGCAATGCCCCCCCCCCCCCCCACAACACGGCAGAGCGAATCAGACCAGCAACAACTGCCTCCTGTTTGCGTCCTCCACTGCCAGCACCCTCGACACCAACTGCATTTCGGGTGAGCACCGAAGCAGAGACGCGAGTTGCTTGCTTGCTTTTGTTGCTTGTTTTTGTTTTGCTGGTGTGTGTGCGCGCGTGTGTGTTTGTGTGTATGTGTGTATGTGAGTATGTGTGTATGTGTGTATGTGTGTGTATGTGAGTATGTGTGTGTATGTGTGTATGTGTGTGTATGTGAGTATGTGTGTGTATGTGTGTATGTGCGCGCGTGTGTCTTGCGTGCTCTTGTGAGCCTTGACCTTGATGTTGCCGATTGAGCTTGCCCGACGCTCTTCTGTTTTCAAGTCGCACCCGTTCATTCACCCCCAACACGACGCACCGCAACGCATTTGCGGCGGCCCTCCCTTTCATGCATGCAGGCGCGCATGATCCAAAACAGGTGCCGTACACAACGCTGAATCCGCTCGGATACCAGCTCTTCAACATCGCCCAGGATCCAAACGAGCACACGGACGTGAGTTCGCACTTGGTGCAGTGTGTACGAGCAGTGTGGGGCGAGGGTTTATCAATGGGTCGAGGGTGATGTGCGGTTCTTTGTGTCATCCAATCTTTGTACACATTCACACGCACACGCGCTCATGCACACGCACACGCGCTCATGCACACGCACACGCATATACGCACACACACACACACATGCGCATACCCACACATGCGCATACACACACGCACGCACACACACGCATACGCAGGTTGCTTCGTCGCATGCAGACGTGGCCAAGCAGATGAACAGCGAGCTTGACTCCATCTTGCAATCCTACGTGCAGGCGCAAAACGACCCCAACTGCCCTTTCCCGTAAGTCACGTATCCTCCTTGCTCGTGTGTGTACAGGGGTGTAGGGGGGATGTGGACAGACACGAGGCACAGGGTGAAGGCAGGCGATGCGCATGGGTTGTGTCGTGCATGGCGTGTTCACACTGGCTCGCACTGCATTCCATGCTGGTTTCCCCTTCGTGCTTGTCCTTTTTGTCTTGCAACGGTTCAACTTCAGGACGAGCGGGTGGCCGCAGACGCGATATGGACCTGTGATGGTGCCGTGGTGTTAAGTGAGCGCACGCGGACTCTCCCTGTGTACGCTGTTGCTTGTGCTGTTGGAATGGGTGTGCTCTTTGCTGGCAGTTACACAACACAACACAACAGAACAACAACAGCGGTGACAACCGCTTGAAGCACGACACCTGAGGGAAAGAGACGGCAGGAGGGTTGTTGTTGTTTAAGTTGTTGTTGTTGTTGTTTAATTGTTGTTGTTGTTGTTGTTGTTGTTTAATTGTTGTTGTTGTTGTTGCTGTTGTTGTTGTTGTTGTTGTTGGTGTTGTTGTTGTTGTTTAGGTTGCTGCTGCTGTTGTTGTTGTTTAATTGTTGTTGTTGTTTAAGTTGTTTAAGTTGTTGTTGTTTAAGTTGTTGTTGTTGTTGTTGTTGTTGTTGTTGTTGTTGTTGTTGTTGCTTGAGTGAAACCACTGATGTCGGCACGCACATGCTGGTGAGAAGCCTGCCTGCAATGTTTGCATGTCAACACACATCAATCCCGGGTGCTTCATTCTTCGCATCAATGGATACGAGCAAGCGCTCCAGCAACGCAGTGCCACTTTTGCACTTTCGAGTGGACACAACACGGGAAGGAACGAAACATCTCAACAGAGGAATGTCATATGGTCTTCGACGAGCAGTTATGTAACACAACAGCATACCAAACATGAGTGAGGAGAACAACAGCGTAGGATCGTGTGAACTGGTGCGACGAAAATTGGGTGTTGGTGGTGCAAGGGTGAAGAGCGTTCAGAAACACGGTTGCCAACAACATCAGCAGAACAAAAAGAGAAAAGAACAGCAGTGGTTTTGGAGCTTCTCAATCACCCGCATTCAACACACGACCACATTGAAAACGCTTCAGCCAACAGTCAGCGCGGTGGGTTCGGCGTTGGCCCCTCCTTCCTGAGCCTTTGCTGCTTGCTCCTCAGCACCACTGCCATGACGATATCCAAAACAGGACAGCATGGATGCCTTTGAGAACTGCAGGTGTGAGTGGACAAACTCCCGCCACGTCTGTCGCGCGTTCTTGTGGATACCAAGCCGCTCTCGCAGTTCGTGGATGCGCTCAAAGTCAGCACTCAACGTCTGGAACGCCTGATCTGACCCACCCTTGTCTGGGTGCTCCTTCAGTGCGTGGGCTTTGTACTGGCGCCGGAACGCCTCGGCATCAGCGTGGCCAGTGAGCTGATATTTGGCGCTCAGCGCCTTCAACTCCTTTTGGTCGGCGCGCTTGCTCGGATCGCCAAACACCGAGCCCCACGCCCAGCGCACAATCCGCCCTGCGCAGTAGGCGGCGATTGGCGTCAGCACAAATGGTACAACGGCGCCAGCAACGCTCATGGCTGCAGCCGCCCCTGTTGTCATGGCCATGCTGGCCTGCATCGCTGCATTTGTGCCGACATGTGCCATGAAGGTTGTGCCAGACGTGGCGATAGCCTTGCTCGCACCCAAGGCCACCTGCTCCTTGGTGCGCACGCTCGTGTCGGCCTCATCCTTGTACGCGCGCAGCGTGTTGTTGCACTCGATGAGCGCGTTTGCAGCACACGCCACACCAAGCCCAGGCACGTTTGCCACTGCCGCCGCTGCACGCGCGAAGCCGGATGCTTCAAGCGCAGCACCCAACACGCGTGGAATGGTGATGCTGCCTGTATGCGCGGCTTTGAGGCCCGTATCGGCCACACGCTGCACCCTTGTGCGTTTGTCGTTTGGGCCTTTGACCGTGAGCTCACGAACAGCTACTGCAGCCAGGATGGCTGCGCTGGCAGCCGTGTGAGTGTGGACCGCTCCGCAAACTGTCGCGGCAGCCGCTGCTGTTGTATTCACGATGCTGCTGCAACTCTTTGCGATCCGGTACCGCGTGGCTGTTGTTGGGCTACCCTGCCCCTCCTTTTCCCCGCTGTCCGACCCAACGTCGCCAGTACCCGAGTCTGGACCATCCTGACCATCAACCACACCACCACCACCACCACCACCACCACCACCACCACCACCACCACCACCACCACCACCACCACCACCACCACCATCATCATCATCATCATCATCATCATCATCATCATCATCATCATCATCATCATCATCATCATCATCACCATCATCATCACCATCATCATCATCATCATCATCATCGTCATCATCATCATCATCATCATCCTGGTGATCAGCACGCTTCAAGCTGTCAGTAGCACCCTGCATGCTGTGCCCACTTGCCTCCTCCTTGTCGTCATCGACGGTCTTTACTCGGCTTCGCTTGGCACCCTTCGCATGGCTCCCAGCGCTTTCGGTGGCTCCATCGTGTGTGCGCCTTTCTGTAGTGCGCACGCTGCTGCGTGAGTTCGATGCAGTACGTGACGAGCCTCTGAGTTGCTTCAGTGGGGTGTCCTTGCTGTCTTGCGGTTCTGGTTGGTGGCGCACGCGAGTACGTCGACGTCGTAACCCGGTGTTTGGCTCTGTCTCATCCAACTGCCAGCGTTGCTGTTTCTGACCTTTGTGCTCCGTTCCATGCCCTTGCTGCTGTTCATCCGCCTTCTCGCTCTCCCCCTTCCTTTGCTGCCCCTTCTTCTTGCCTTTGTTCTCGCCCTGCTCCTTGTCCTTCTTCTGCCAGTCATCCAAGTGCCATCGCACAACTTCACCTGCGCATGCCACGCCGGCAGCCATGAGCACACCCATGGGTGACAGCCCATCCTTGGACATGTTCTCAACGGCGGTACCGTTACCAAACGCCTCTGTTGCACGAAGCACAAGCTGCTGCGCCTTGTCCCAGGCCCCCAGCCGCATGGCGTGGTCCTCCTTCAGCTCATCTTTTGTCTTCTTCGACGTGGCGGCGTCAATCGCCTGCACAAGCTCGCTGCCAATGGCAGTGCCAAGGACGCCGAGGCTGCGACGTGCCCCGTCACTAAGCGCAAATGTCTTTGCCCTTTTCGTCGCTTGCTGTTGCCCTTGCTCTTTCCGAGCAGAGCCGGCCCTCTTCTGCTTGCGCTCGGCGATCTTGCCCTGCCGTTTTCGCTGCGTTGTAACCTTCTTTCTCCCAGCACCAGCACCTGCGGACAGCGCTTTGCCCACGGAGAAGCGACCGTCAGCGTCATGGAAACTCGTGAACGACGTGCGACGCGCTGCCTGTGCGTCTGCAAACAGGACAGCTGCATTGACATGTGTCAGGTCGTCCTCGGTGCTGATTCCAACGCCACGACGGCGGGCAGTGGCTCTAGCCCTCTTGCCAGGCAGCCGAGGCACTCGGCTGCTCGCACCCTTGCGGGGTACAATGGCATGTATGGTGATGGGCAGCTTGATCATCCCCGCCAGTGACGCCGATATCGTCGTGTCCACCTCAATGATTGCGTGGCTGTTGGCGTGCATGTGCGAATGCGTTTGTGAACAAGTGTGTGTGTGTGTGTGTGTGTGTGTGTGTGTGTGTGTGTGTGTGTGTGTGTGTGTGTGTGTGTGTGTGTGTGTGTGTGTGTGTGTGTGTGTGTGTGTGTGGGTGTGTGTGTGTGGGGGTGTGTGTGGGGGTGTGTGTGGGTGTGTGTGTGGGTGTGAATGTGTGCGTGCGCTGCAGCCCTGGGAATGTGTCTGGGGCAAACACAGCAGTGCTGTCATGCTATGGCATCCACTGGACGAAACCCAAGAAGCACGACACTCACCAGTCGTCTCTGTTGAAGACGGTGACTACTTCAAGGGCTGCAAACACGGCAGCGCCACGGCCTGCCTCCTGCGCCTCCAAGATGCTTTGCACAAGGGTCCTGGTTGTGTCCTGCGCAATTTCGGCACCGTTGTCCCATACGGCGTCGAGAGACACATCAGCTGCCAGAAACGCAGTCAGCACACCGTGGAGCGCAGCCTGGCCACCGCCTGAGTGAAAGAGTGATGGTGGTGTGTGCGTGCATGTGAGCGTGTGTGCGTGCATGTGAGCGTGTGTATGTGTGTGTGCACGTCAGGTCTGTGAGTCGAGACACGCCCGTGGGTTGCATGAAAAAGCGCATGGAAGTGGACCAAATTACGCACACTCGCAGCCACTTGCCCGTGCGCAAAGATGAATGTGGTGCGGGCAACGCACACACACACACACACCTGCACGCACACACGCACCTAGCTCCTTGGTTGCCTTTTTGGCAGCTTTCGTTGTGATGAGGGATGACGTGGCAGGGGACTGGGACGCCTTTCGTTTTGCGTGATGGAGCTCCTGCTCGACGCGCGTGTGGTCCTGATGCCAGCCCTCCTTGTCAATGTTGACGAGCTTGATGCAATTGATGTACGAGCCTGCACCCGGTCCGTACTCAAAACGTCGCACGCTGATGACGACATCTCGTCCACTTGTTTTGGCGCTGCTCAAGCTCAGGGTTCGTGCTGGTGGAAGGTGCTGCTTCAACAGCGCAGCACGCTGTCGCGGAGACATGGAGCGTAGCTTGCATTTCGAGCCGCGTTTACTTTTCACGTACAAGTCTCCATACTCGTCGACGTGGATCGCCGAGGATGGCGGTGGCAGAGACGCCGGTGCCGTGGTTGTGTCCATGGTGTTTGTTTGGGTTTGGAGGACAGGAAGTGTTGTTTCAGTCGTGCAGTGTTGCCTCTGGCGTTTAGCGGCGAGCAGTGGAGTGGAACAGTTGAAGAGTCGACGGGGGTTGCTGTCGTGTCGCTGTTGCCTTGATGCTGTCGTGTTGATGGCACGAGATGGACCTGGATGAGACAAAGCAGCACCTTGTGACACAACAGCGCCCTTGCAGCAAGAAGCAAAGCAAGCACTCACTGTCTCTGGTGGTGGTGGTGTTTCTGTGTTTGTGTTTCTGCGTTTCTTGTGTGTGACTGTATCAAATCTTGGTCATGCCATTCCCAATTTTCTCCAAAGCAGTAGTCCTTTCAGGAGACACCACTCCCGCTTGCTGACTCGCTTGCTGCTTGCTTGCTAGCTTCTTTGCTCGCCAATTCTCCCTGTTCTCCCTCGCCGCTGTGTGTCGCTAGTTGCGACTGCCGAGCGCACGAGAGCAGCACGCTCACGTCATAACCGGGTAGAACCCACTGCAGGTTCGTTCACGAAGTCAAACGTAAGCTGGGAGCCTGTACTGCGATGTGACGTGACTGTTTGTTTGCGTCTGAGAGGGGGGGGGGGGCATGCACACGACCCCTGTGAACAACACAACAACCGAAAGAACGGGGGAAGTAGCAAAGATGTACGAAGAAAAGCAAGAAGAAGAAAAGCAAGGAGGGAGGAGAGAAGCCAGGGATGTGGCAATAGAACAAAGATAGCTGCTACAAATAAAACGCACGCTGCACACAAACGGTCCGTGGCCACGAAGGAACACAAACAACCAAGCTTATGACAGGGTAAATGTGTGTGTGTACGTGCGTGTTGAAGATAATGCGAGAGAAGAGGTAGTCGTGTGTTGGTGGGTCAACGGTTGATGCTTGAGCTGGAACTGGCTGGTGACGAGGAGAAATGTGTTAACATAAGGGACGGTGGAAAAAGACAATAGAGATGATTGATGCGCTGGTGTTGCCAAGGTGCGCCTTGCATGTTTGAGGAAGTGTGGCATTGGCGGGCTTTTATCGACGCGTGCCGCACATGCTACAGAACTTGGCCTGCTCCATAAACCGCGTCCCACACTCCGCTGCAGTTGAGTGGACACGTGTGAGTGAGTAAGAAGAGGGGGGTCGGTCGGTGTGTGAGTGCATGGAGAGTGCGGGTACTTTCGTGTGTGTGTGTGTGTGTGTGTGTGTGTGTGTGTGTGTGTGTGTGTGTGTGTGTGTGTGTGTGTGTGTGTAGTACACGTGTGTTGTCCGCCATGACATGTGGCGACTTACTGCAGAAAAGCTTCTTGTGCTGGGAGCCCTGCAACGCCTCGCCGCAGTGTCCGCAATACTTTGGCCGTGCAGCCGACCCAATCCTGCACACACACACACACACACACACACACATGTCTATGAGTGGGATGCACAGGGCACAAGGCACAAGGCACAGGATGGGGTGTACGGCAAACAGTTGGTGCAGCCAGGCGGGCTGCTGCGCCTTCATTTTCTTCCTACCGGTGTGCACGGTTGCTGCCCATGCTGCTTGCACTGCCATGACGGTTGTTCCTGCATTTATGTTAACGCGGCCAGCCAGGTCAACGTGCGTGAGTACTTGAGAACGTTTGAGGCGTGTGGTGTTGCGGGCACCGTGCCAACAACACAAAAACTAGGCAAACATTTGTACTTGGGAGTGCTACTTGCGCCAGCACCAGCAGCACCACCACGACCACCACCCGCCTTCCTTCTCTCACCACCCTCACCACCACGCCATGGCAGCAGCACCTGTGTCGCGCTGCGCCCTCGAGCAGTTCGTCGTCTGGCGGCGGCCGCTCCCGGTTGAACGGATATGCGCTGGTGGATTTGAGGTGGATTTGGGGTGAGTGGTGAGCGGGAACGAAAAGGAGGTGTGGGGGGGGGGGGAGAGGAGAAACAGGGGAGGAGCAAGATAGAAACACGCTGATGGACAGACAGACAACGCGGGCAGAGAGGAAGAGAGGAAGAGAGGAAGGGAGGGAACGGTAAACAAACACGAGCTCGGCAAGCAAAGGCACAGACACAAACACAGACACAAACACAGACACACACGCACGCACGCGCAAGCACCGGAAACAGCACAACCCTGTCCTCACCGCGAGTCAAGGAGGGTCATGCCAGCATCTGCGTCCTGGAACGAGACGTTGCTGCGGGGACGACTGGTCGGTGTGCTGCTGGCGGTGCTGTTGTTATGGCTGCTCGATGCAGACGGAGGGCGGCCAGCGCGACGCGTCCCGCTGGTGATTCGGACCCACATGTGGGGTGGGGGAGAGAGCGGGAGGCATGCGATGGATGGGACGTACGTGTGTGTGTGTGTGTGAACGAAGAGAGATGGAAGAGGTGGAAGGAAGAGAAGGAGGAAGCCACAGACGCAGGAACACAGAGGCACACATCAAACGCCAGCGTGTATACCGTACCGGCCTGATGGTTTTGTTGGATGCGAGCCCGGTGGCGGACGCGGTGCACGGCCATCCGCCCGCACTGTCTCGGGTCTGGTCGTGTGTATGTGTGTGTATGTGTGTGCGTGAGAGAGAGAGAGCGTGTGTGTGTATGTGTGTGTATGTGTGCGTGTGTGTGGCGTTTCGAGGGAGCAGGAGATGGCAATGTGCACTCTCACAATCGCGCACGTCACTGATGTCCACACACAGCAAGCGCACGACCATCACAACAACAACAACTTAAACAACAACAACAACAACTTAAACAACAACAACAACAACACTTAAACAACAACAACAGCAACTTAAATAACTTAACCAACAACAACAACAACAACAGCAGCAGCATACCTTGCTGCAGGTGCTGCCCTTGGTGTTCGCTGGACGGCTGCGGACTGGTGTCGTGTCGGGGTTGTGGACGTGGACCCGGGCCGCCGCAGCGCTGGCGATGGCGGTGGTGAATGATGGCGGGGAAGGGGGGTGAGTGCGATAGTGATGACATTGTGAAGCGGTCATGCACTGGCGCCGCAGTCTCATCCACACACACACACACACACACACACACACACACACACACACACACACACACACACACACACACACACACACACACACACACACACACATCCGTGCGCACATTCACGCACACACACACACACACATCCACGCGCACATTCACGCACACACACACACACACATCCACCCATGCGATCGAGACATCACGTACATGGCGGCTTGTATGCTGTTCGTCGCTTCATCCTCTCCATTGCCTCGGGGTCTTTTGCCGCATTCTTCTTGATGCGCTCCCGTTTGCTCTGCACACACAAACAAACGCAAAAGCACGCGCGCATAAGTTTGAGCTTGCCTCGAATGATAGCGAGCACAGTGACACACACGCACACAAACACACAGACACAGGCACACACAAGTCTTCCACCTTTTCTTCGCAGAATTTGACGTGTCGCTCTGCCGCGTCTTCGTTGAACCGTCGAGAACATATAGGGCACTGGCAAAGAGCAGGTCAGAAGCACAGAAGCACAGAAGCACACACATATATATATATATACACACACACACACACACACACAAGTACACATACATACACAAGCACATCGTGAGGTGCGTGTCTTTTGATGAATTGAGAGTGTCTCTAGTGCTGGCACTGCACCAGCAGCTTGTCACCCAAAACAGGTCAAGCCTGCCCTCGTTGTCATCCAACCATGAAGCACTTGCTCGCCCTCCTGTAGACCAAACTAGCGCAGTGGATCATCGGACCTTCACGTAGTCTGGGTTCTCGGACGGCGGCGGTGGCGGGAGACTTGACACGTCACCGCCCTCGTTGATGAACTTCTGCACCTTTCGCGCTGCGCGAATGTTTTGGATAAACTGCTTGTGCTTTTCCCGCCAGTCCTAAACAGTGAATACACGGATGGTTTTGGGCGGGGGGGGGGGGGTTGCATGGGGGTGAGATGGAGGCGCAGTGCAAGCATACAGCGAGACACGTGTGAACACACCTGCATGTTCAGATACACACACACATATACACAGGCAGGCATACACACAGACACAGGTACACACAGACACACACCGCTTTCTTCTTTGTGGATCCAACGGGTTTGTTCGAGTGCGAGGGTGGGTTCTTCTTGCGGGCTGGCGTGGGTGCCTTCTTCCCTTCTCCTTCTCCCACGCGTTGCTTGGAGCTCTCGAAGGTACCGCGCCGAGCTGCGTTGGCGGTGGTGCGCTGACAGATTGGCGCATGCTTGGCCTGCAATCGCACCACCACCACAACCACAACCACAGCCACCAGCAGGGATCAGAAACAGTGAAGCAACGCGCATTGCACTCGTCAAATACACACACACACATTTCCTCCAGGCAGATCTGCGCCCTCACAGCAAACAGCACACGCACGCACGCACGCACTCATACACACACACACTCACTCACTCACTCACCAGTGCTTTGGGATTGAACGTGCGGTTGCAGGTGGGGCATGGCGAAAGCTGCACTTGCTCTACCGGTGGCTCGATCTGAAGCATTACCGTTAAACACACACACACACACATGCACACACACACACACAAGATAGTGGTTACGGAGAAGAAGAAGGTGCACGCGCGCGCAAGAGGCGATGACGGGGGGGGGAGGCAGCACGTGACGGTGCAGCAGTTGTGGCCCTGATGCAGATCAATCACAGAGGCACACGCACACACACACACACACGAACGCATGCAACAGCAGACCTGCTCAAAGTCGATCTCGCCGTTGTAGTCGCTCATCTTGGCAGCGCAGGGAGTGAATCAAGTGGCGGCACAGCAGTCCACAGTGCGCACGTTGATCAAGCCGGCTGGCAGTGCTGTGTGCGAGACAAACGAGGTCTTGAAGTGTCTTCCGTCGTCGTCAACCACACAGCAACAGACCGCCAAAGCAACAACACACAACAGACAGCCAACGTTCAGCTCGGGTGCGTCTGCATTCCCGGTGGCCCACTCACCGCTCCTGAGATTGCTCCCCACCACACACCCAATATTCTGCCTTTTGAAAAACGTGTCTGACCCAAATAAACATTTTTGCAACGACCCCGTCCTCCCCACCACACTGCACAACCCCTGCCCTCGCCCACCAACCCCTCCCCACTCCAACGATGGCATCCATCCACACCACTCCCGATCAAATCTCTCCTGAAGACTTGGTCGATACCCTCGGTGCGCACTTGTCATCCCCACGTCTCTTGCCCACAACCAACAGCCTTCATGTGGTGTTCAAGTGTTCCCCTGCCTGGCTGTCCC